CGGGTCGGAATGACACGAGAACTGTTGCTGGACCACAAAGAATTTACCAGAGTGTGGTGGAATTTTTCGTAGTTTTGTGACGCCACTTATATTTTTCGAGGTGTGTCCTTTGCGTTTAAACAAATAGTGCGTTATGCTCACATATCCCTCTAGCTGTTGCGCAAAATTTACATCAAAAGCCAGCCGGCAGGGTCACCTCCGTTACCTGATCAATATCTTGCTGCCATATCATCGAAATCACAGGTTCTCGACGCCATGAAACTCTGGTTGACGAAGGGTGGCGGAGCTCAAGATGTATTGGATGACTCTCAGCTCCTTCAAGCACTTCGAGCCTTTTTTGCCAGTTCTAGTGATCACATCATTCATTCTTCCGCCGCCACCTTCGAGAACCCAAGCTTGGGATAACATGACCGAATCACGGCAAGCCCTTGAACAACTTCTGCTATCTCAGACAATGAGGCCATCGACTTCTCCAACCCAAACTGTTTCTCGAAACGCGGTAACCACGACCGAGTCTCGCGTACGGAACTTAAGCACTAGATAGCCTCCGGATATGGATCGCATGAGCCCCAAGGAGTTTGTTGACAATATCGACGGGATGGCATTTGCGGCCTTCAACAATGTAACAGAAGAAGTAAGCATTCTTAGTACCATTCCCCTGCCTTGCCACCAATCAACTGGTGATCTTTTTCTTTTAGGACCTTTACATCACATCCGACCTCTGGAGGTGCAAGGTACTGATCGAACTGGATGGTTCCCACCGCGAGAGGCGTCGTCACTGGATGAGTATATCGAGATACAAACTATTCACAGCCATATTCAGGACGTAGAGCCATCCTCTCTCATATCCGAACTTTCACCTGAAAGCTTGTACCGTCTTCTTCCCCCTGGTATTCGAAGCTGCATTCGAGCACACTCAATCATACGGAAATGGCTGATTTCGAAAATTGTCGCTCCCCGTATAGGTCTCCGCGCACGTCAAATGCGAATAGAGTTTTTACTGCAAGTCATTGAAGTCGCTCGGCTGCGTAATGCGGAGAGTTCTTCACCCAATTCTGTCTATGAGCAGCCCTGTGTTCGGTCTTTCGTAGAAGCAGCGGTGACATCCGCCATCCTGAGTCCTGAATGCAGAATGCACCACCGAGCATGGCAGAATGTTTCTGCTAGTCAATGTTGCAATTACGACACAATTTCTCAGCTGCTTGCACGACCCAAAACTCAATCTGTCGCATCTAGAGATCCCTTAACTGTGGACATGGGCTGGCTGATAGAGCGGATTCTGGACGTTATTGCCATGCCCGATCTTGTTGAATCTCATAATGAAGAAGGGCAAAATCTCGTTAACTTTGATAAACGCCGGTCAGTCTGGTTTTCAGTCTTTCAATTCTTCTGCTGAGCTGTCGGTAATGATTCAGTAATCTCTGCAACTTCATATCCAACGCACCGTCACTGCTCTCGCAAAGGCTTGCTCATCGGAATGATATCAACAGACGAGGCTTCGAATGTCTCAACAAACATTGAACGCGAAATTTTCTCCATTCAATCTGATATCCGCGGAATCAAGGATGAGGCATATCGGGAGGGCGCTGCTGCGAACGCTCCCGGGACACCGTCAAAAAAGATTTCGTGGCCCTTTCAAAGACTTGTCGCTATTCAGATGGACAAACATCGGCGGGACAAGAACTTGCGAGCACATCTACAGAAAGAGAAGACGCAGGAACAATTTCGTAATGAAAAACGAGAAGAGCAATTGGACAAAGCGATGAAGGGAGGACGAAGACCGACTTCGGTTGCACAGAAGCAGCATCGCAATAAGAAAAGCATGTCGTCGCTTTTCAGTTTTATGCGACTCATTTCCAGTGCATTCGGTGTCGATAATTCTCATTCCCCTGTCCTAAGGAGAACCGCCTCTGAGCTTGAATTTACTCCTTCCGGAAAGCCAACATTAGTTGTGAACCTCATGGATTCCAGCGTTAACCATTTCATCAACAACGAACGTTCTTTCACCTTTAGGCTCGATACTGAGGACGGCGGTCATTATCTTCTTCGGGGATAAGCGGTGGAATCTTGACCCGCTTTCTTTGTGTGCTGTTCGATTGGAAGTCTCCACTCAGGACGATTACCAAAAGGCCTTTAGAGCAAAGACTTTTCGTGCCAGTGCTCAACTTGATCCCTTCCAAGCACTCACATGGGCGATGCTAGAGCTGCAAGCTGATTGCTTGGCGAAGGTACGCTGAATGCGGACATACCCCCTACTCGTCTAACTGTGCTCTCGTATTGTAGCTTTATCAACACTTCGAATCCAACCCCGTGTCGTCAACCCAACCGCAATCAACACAATCGAGCAAACGCCCTCGTCTACTCGAGAACCCTGTGACATCCCTGCTAAAATCTGTGCAGCAACCTCCCATGCGCATCTACAATTTACAAATACTCTTGTTCTTCATTGACCGACATTGGAATACTCCACGTGAATCTATGCAATCAGATATCATTCGCACTCTTCTGGATCATGTAACCAATGATGACGGGACTGTGCAGAGCTGGGCTTTCGTATGCCTTGCTGCTCTAGCATCTGCGGATTGCGATAATGCTGCCAGTCTTCTCTCTTCTCAAACACTCTCCACCTCTGCCGTTCCTCCAACTACCATCCAGACGAGATACATGACGAGTGTCTCTACCCGAGGTGCTTCCACTTGGGATTCTGTATGGACACATGCGATTCGCCGTACTAATTCACAGAATATCGCCGGTGGCGTCGGCGTCCCGTTTGTCCGTTGGTTTGGGACCGAATGGTACCTTCTCTCGAGGACCTTTTCAATTTCTGTAATAGGAAGTATGTCGTGCCGCTTGCCACACCGCGAGTATCTTGCTCGTTTACGCTAACACTGGCTCTGCCCGACAATCGCTCGTCAGATCTTCCCTTACCTCTCATCGCGTTCTTTCCGAAATCGAAACTCTTGCGAAGGATCTAGATGTTCAAGGTCCCGTTGCCCCTTTCGATTCCGTTTGCACGTTTCTTTCGCTTTGCCTGAAAGTCGCAAATCAGGACGTTCGCCTGTACCGTATGCAGCTCGAAGAAAAGGTTTTAACTTGGCTGATGCCAAGCTACCCTCTGTCAAGTTTGATGGTAGTTGCCCAGAGTCTGCATCCCCCAACGAATCTTCGGACTTGAGAAATGCCACTTTCATGGCGCCCATCCCCGCCGAAACGGACCTCGTGCAGCCGCAGTCCAGAGAACGTAAAATCTCGGTGTTCTTCCTAAAATGCCTCGAATCAGCTCTATCACCATGGCAGGAAGGTTCAGACAATACCATAGTCCTTAGGGCTCCTGCGGCCAAGAGGGCTTTAGATATTGCTGTGGTCGGCCTGTCTTTTGAGTTCGTCCTTGTTCTGAACGGTATACAGAGCAATAGACGTGTCATACAGGCAGCTTGCAAGTTAATCACCTTGATTGCCAAATTACTTGATCAGTCTCAGTGGAGTATAGAGGAAAAAGGCGCCGTCCTTCTCTCATTGGAACCTTTAGTCTGCCTTGACGCCGAAACTTACGATGTTGCTTCTTGGACTGTATTACTGCCACCGACCCGAGGTACCGGGATCCGTTCTCAGACTCTGAAATCTCTCCTGTCAAATGATGACAGGCGGCAGAAAACGTTGCGATTGGAAAGAACGAAGCATCTCAAAACATTATGGGGGAACCCTGACGTGAGGGGCGTTATTCAACCGTTATGTTATCTAATCATTTCATCCAGGTACAAGCCACCTTTAGTGGCATCTCAGAAGTCTTCAAAGACATTCTTAGAGTCGTGATGGGCCAGCCTTCGAAATTGCCCGCTGACGCCATGGTTGTTGATGACAGCTTTAGTACTGCTGGTCGCAGTCCATCGCAATCATTGGGAGCCACATTGGGTACCGCCGCTCAGATTTCGGCAACCCGCCAAGTTGCAGGCATCTCTATCCTGTTTTTATCTGTCGGTCCTCTTTTGCAGCAAAGCAAGTGCTGTCGAAGCGGGACATAACCAAGTGGATCGATACTCTTGCCAGGGTCTCAAAAATAGTGGCAAAACGGCGGCTCACTTACATCGGGAATTCTCCCAAGCCTCAGATCGCGGACCATATTCACAACCAACCCGTCACCGCTACCAGGGATCCTAAAGCAGGTAAGAGTGGTTTCTTTCTGGTGCTATCGTTGCTCATTGGCGATCACCTCAGTGTTTGGTGTAGAACTGAACTTCTTGCTGGAGCGAGAGTACGGTGGTAGTCCAGTACCTCCAAGGACCATACCGTTTGTCGTTGAACCATCCTTGGCTCAGGTGGAAGCCCGAGGTATGATGGAAATTGGGATCTGCTAGTATTTTCATGTCTTACATCAATATCATCTGGAGCAGTTAACCAATCGAACGGTACAAGTTCCAAAATTGCTTGCCTTCAAGAAGCTTTCAAACAATCGTAACTCGGGGAGGAAGTGAATATGGAGGAAATCAGGGACCACCGAGAGAGATTTGATATTCGTATATCCTAGGTCTAACTAAAGTCCACAATTCTAATGGGAGTCCAACGTTCCCTTTGTACTTGGGAGGAGCATAGGTTTGGCGTAATGTTTACTAATGCGGATTCTGGAGTAAGGGCGCTCGGCAAATTCCTTGAAAAGTTGCGGGCAGGGTACAATTTCCTCGGATCTTTCCGAGAACTTGTACCGGTGGGAGTTTTGTGGAATCGTTGTTTTCTTACCGTCATGAACCGTCGAAAAGTCTTAGGCTTAAAGCGTTACGCCAAAACTATTGGCAATGGCCTGCTTTCTAAACTCAGATCTGCTGGTCCTCGGGTGAACCCAGCCTCTCCTTCTTCGTACCAGCCTTCGATCCTATCCGATCCTCCCCCTTTTTCAATTCCCCCTGGGTGCATTAAGGATGGTAAAAAACTCGATTTCCCCAGTACTCGAGACCCGTATCTTCCTGCAATATATGAAGTAAAATCCCATCCTCGGATCCCCAAAGATTTAAATCAGAACGTCATCAAACGGATTCTCATCGTACCTTGGCCTAAGGGCGACGCCCAATTCCTCAAATTCTACTTTAACCATGCAGAAACTAGAATCAATATTCCTGGTGGACGGAATTCAAGTATTCCTGCCCTTGGTATGCTCCATGGCCTTTGCCTCCTAGTCTTATCTGATCATTTGTTAGGGTGGGGGAAACTCGAAGTTGGCGACATAGTCTTTACCCGGGATGTTGCGGGGTCTGGAGATGGCATGGATGATATGTTTGAGGTATATGTTGGAGAGATGTACGTGAAGTACATGCCTCTGGTTCATCTTACCTATGCTTATCAACCTTTATAGAGATGAAGAGAGTGAAGAGGGGAAGTTAATCAAGAATCTTCGAGATGAAACGCTTGGTCCTGAAGCCGAACGTTGCACAAATGGCTGTACTGCATTTGAGAAATGCAGTAAACGTGCCAATCCTGTGGGCGGTTCAGGCCACTGCTACAGCTGCGGCATAAGTCACCAAAAGCCCAGGAACTTGGTAACGCCTTCTGTTGGGGGCAAGATACGGGGAAGTCTCAGCACTGAAGAGGAGGAGCATATCCAAATGCGGCGCAATCTTGTGACGGTTTGTCGATTATCTATTCTCACAATGCAATACCAATGTTGGTTACCAATTAGACAACCATTAAACTTGCCGTGAATATGTTCCGACGTATACTACCAACAGAATACAAAATTCTAGAAGATGCCTGCGAGCTCAATAATGTACCGCGGATTGGCACGGATGACAATGCTCTCTATCAGGGCTTACAGCTTAATGTTTCGCAACCTGTACATGGTGATGGACTAAGTACGTTGTTGCGTATGATACTCAAACTAACTACCTCATGCAATTGATTGTGCAGTTATCAACTGCATCAAGGCTCTTGCCTTTTTTGGTGGCAAACACTTTGACCGACACGACTCTGCAGGTGGTTGGACTACGATGTTTGCTTATCCCGATATACCAACGGGAGAAGGATGGGAGGGAGGGAGATTTCATCTGGTCGAGTTTGGGCTATACGTCGAACTTGATAAAATCAAATCTATAACATTTTCAGGGCTTCGTCTTCATGGTGGTACGCCTCCATTAGCGCCTGTTGGAGTTCCGATTCCTCCTTCCGCCTACCGATGGGTAGTTGTACTTTATCCTCAAGGTGCTATTCTTGATGGCCGAGTAACAATGAATATTGCTGCGGGTCCCAACGGAGTGCCAATCCAGTTGACGCCAGAAATGACAAATGCAACTGTCCATGTACCATCAACTGAAGAGTATGTTTTTTCCCTGGCTATAAGTTATCAGACTCTTACTTGTACTGTTCTAGCACTGACGGGTTGATGGCTGAAGAGGATGAGGAAGAGTATGCTCTAACTTAAATGAATCATCTATTACACTTATAAGTCTTAGGCCAGATTTGCTTCATGCTTCGCCCAAAGAGCTAAACTTCCTAGATGATGGAAAAGTTATCATGACTCCTCAAGCTGAAATAGATTTTCTCGCCCGAGCTTTCTTCCTGCACACATTATATCATCAGAGGCAGATCATGGGTGGAAATGTATTGAAATATGATCATTATCGTCAAGGCTGGTCTATGCAGCGGGATGGTATAACATTCTCTGCTGGTCCTTGGTCTTTGGCACCAGATGGTCTTGAGCTAACTAACCATGCTGGTATGATGACGACTATCACTTGAGCTTAGAATCTTAACATCCTTCACAGATTCCTCACCCCGTCAAGCTGCCAGAGAACGGTGGTATCAACACTGTAACAAGAGGCTTGAAGCGATATCCTCTACTTTCCGTAACTTCAAAGCTCCTCCCATCCGTAAGCAAATTGACTTTTGGTGCAATTCTCTGCTTCTCTATCTATAACAAACAGGAATACCGGTGCCTCAAACTTTTAAAAAACGGTCTCGGACAGCACGCGCAGCTGCTGCACAAGCTGCTGCTCACAAGCGAAAGGTAGTATATCAGCTGAAGGCCCGATCAAAGAACCGAAAATCGAAATCGAAATCAACAGTTTGTATGTTTTTATGGTTCAACTACGTTGCCATTGACTCATTTAACTCCTATTTTCCAGCTGAAATTATACATGCTGCTCAAAAAGCTCCGCAAGCTATTGAATTCAATCAGGAAGTGGCCATACAAAACTTGAATAAAACAAAACGAGATCTAAATGTGAACGATAAGGGACAACGGAGAAGTAAACGGCTCAAGGAAAACTGCGATAATGGTATGAGTCAGAAAATAAATTCGACTGAAGGAGTCTAATCGATAGGCGTTGCAGCAATAGCTCAGGAATGCCAAGTAGCCGAAGAAGAGCAGGAGGAGGACCAGGTATACGAACTTCGAAATATTATATCACACCGCATTTGCACTAAGGCTGTAAGTACTTACATGTTCTTCTGAATTATTCCTAATGCTCGATCTTCAAGTGCTGTAACTACGAATACTATGTTGAGTGGGCTGACAAGAAACCTGGAACAAAAGAATGGATACACGAAAGCCAGATTGAGTAAGTATAAATTATTCATAAGCTAAGTTTTTCTGATTTAAATCTTCAGTATGGGAGATATGTACACCGCTTATCGGCTTAATGCATTCACGCAAACGGTAGATGGTAAGCTCAACCAAACATTGATATGCGGGGTTATTGCTCATCATCTTTTTCTTGATAGTAAATATGGGTTCAATTGGTGGGACTTACGCATACTATATGTATCTGGGATCTGTAATCTAACATCTCCATAGATGACAATGAGCAGCCTCGTAACAATCGCAACGGCGAACCGCCAAATGAAGAGAATCGTTCAAGCGGTAACCAAATTTTGTTCTCTTGAGCACAAATGGTTCTCATTATCATTTCCCAGATCCCTCGCCTTTTCATACTAAAAGCACTGGCAAGCCATCTTGTTCCATTCCTCTTCAATGACTACTAAAGTGGTATATAGCCATTCCATTCCTGATGCAACTCTCAAAAGAATCCTTAACTTACACAATTCAGCTTTTCAATGAGGGCCTATCGAGTATGAATGCAACGCAGGGCCCAAGTATTCAAGACTTATTTTTGAAGATCAATCGCTTTCATGTTGCACTCGAACGTTCTCCTCTCGACTCCAGAACAATGAAAGCGGCAGTAGATGTTTGGCCCTCAATTAATTTACTCCTCGAAAACTCCAAGATATATGATGCAGGTGCCCACATATTACACTATACCATTATGCTTTCACACTATCGACTTTACACTTGGGTTTCGGAGTCCATTGAACATGTACTTGATCATCCCTCGTCACACTGGTGGTACCGTCTTATCAAGACCGTCGGAGAGGTAGTGGAAAGTGGGAATCGTGGCATGTTTTACTTTAACTCATCGGATTTCCTACCTACGATTGAACCCCCAAGAACTTATTTGTGGAACTTCCATGGAAGGCAACATGATCAGCGCAGCGCTAATAGCCTTCTTAGTTCGCGCATTATCTTTCACTGGCTTGGCTTGCCAATAGAATCTGATGACAAACACAATGTGCAGTCGTTGTTCCTGAAGAGCCTCATGGACTCTAGTGCTACTGCGAGCATTTTATTGCTTGACGAGGTCTGGGCTGCATATAGCACTCCTCGTAACCTCTGTAGCGCTCACTCAAAACGAGGGTATCCTTCAAAAACTGCCATGAAGAAACTTGGCCAAATGTTTCTTGACCATCCAATTTTAGGCCGTCATCGTTCTTTGGAGATTCAACAGCTTATTGATTTGCTCCAAGCTGCTCATCGCCGAATCATGGGTCTTCCGACCTCCCTTAATTCCCCATCTTCGGCAATATTTGCAGAATCACCTTCCACTCCTCCTCTTCTTCCTCCACATACAACTTCAAACGATAACATCTCATATCGGATTTCTCCAATCGCATCCTTAACGTCTGTTCGAGAAAATAATCGCGTCATTTTCTTTCGCGATTGGCTCCTCGAAATCGCCGAGGCTTATATGCAGTTTCCACCGCTATCTATGGACCAACTCAAGCTAGAGCAGCGTAGGATCCTTGAAAATTCAGATTCATCTTGTCCATTCCGGGAGCTTGCATCCTCTCGGAAGCAGGTCTCAGGTCCAAATGGATTATTCGCACATCACTCCCGCGAAGGCACGTTCAGCGCATTACTCTTCCGCGGCGTACTCTTCAATACAGAAGCTTTACAAGAAACTGGACATACTGGGTTTTTTGAGTCCCTTGAAGCCTGGTCCCAGTTTAAAGCTCTTTATGCAGATCGAGGGGAAAATTTTATATGCAACCCTTGTGCATACGGTACAACCAGAGGACGGACTTCCTCTAACGATGTAAACTTCTGGATTGGAAGTGAGATACTGGAGGAAAAGCTGCAAGATCCGAATGTCTCATTTACTAGCATCTGGCAATTTATTGTCCATGCTAAGAATGACAAGAAGAACAAACTCTTCCCTTCGTTTGGAGATCTTTCAGCATATCTGCTTACGGTCGACCTTACTTATGCTCATCGCATCCCTTGGCCAAGCTTGGATGAAGTTGCGCATGCCATATACGTTCTCGCTAAAGGTGCCCTGCATGGACTGCAAAAAATGGATCTAGTCCCAACAGATACTTATAGCGAAAATCAGGTCAAAGAGGGTTTTAAAGCTTTGTATAGGTTTCTAGATGAAGATGCGAAGTTCCAAAAAGTCAAACAGACTGTTATATTTGATCCATTTATGGTGGAACATGCACTATGCAAGATCAGTAAAGATCGAGTATATGAAAGAAGTAAGTTGTAGGATATTTGTAGTATTTTGCTTATGTACTGCATTCTATCGGAATCTGCTGCTAAAACTTGATCTTTTTGTCATTGGTGAAAAGAAATTGAAACGGATTATGCAAGCAAAGGTAGCCCATTCAATATTGCCTCGATAAAGATAAAATGTAGAGCGGTAGGTAGCGAACAATTGAAGAGACAAGATTTTGCTTTAATGCACCTCGACCGTCTCCTCAACCATTTCCTGCGCTGCCGGAATTTCATCCTGCATCAATGGCTTGTCGCATCTAATGGTGAACGAGAGTATACCATTTGACAAGACGGCGATAATGTCGCACAACTAGGAAAGTGTTTGAGCAGCCAGAATAAACTTATTGCCATAGACTTACCTGCGTTTTAGCTGGAATTCGTAGAACGCGATAAAATTCACCATGAGCCCTTTCCATTGTTGCTTGCAACGGTGCTGACATCGTATCATAAGGAGCAGCAATATACCCATGAAATTCTCTGGAACTGCGTTGCAAGTCCACCGGTGGGCTAAGTCTTGGCGGAGCCAGAGAATTCTCATGAATGCACAAGCCAAACTTTCTTGGAACGCGCCAATTAGGAGCCAACGACATTCCCCAAACCACAAGGTTCCGTTCCTTAAATATGGATGAATAGGCGGTGATGACCTTGAGGTGCTGACGTTGCACGCCAGGCAGTTCTACGTCGTAATGTAAGATGTGGCTTTGGCAGTCATATTGGGAGTCAACCCGAGGCATATAGAGGGTAGATGAAAGCTGGCGAACAAAAAGCAAGGTAGAATCAAAGTTGGTCGGGTGTTTCATTTCTTCGGTGAGGGGAGAACGATATTTGGAATTTGGTTTGGGTAGAAGATTAAATACCACAAAAGACACGTGTATATGGAAATAATCCAACGATAAAAAGGTGGTAGGCTCAGATAGCTTATATAAAGTTTGAATTGACAAAAAATGGCAAAAACGCCGACAGAGATTGTGGAGAGGGTCACAAAATCAAAATCAACCGTTTGTTCCACTTTAAACACAAAGATGTAGATGAAATGGTATAAAGTAATGCATAAGCTTCAAACCATATTGTAAGTACCAGCATTATCCAACATCTGCACAAGAAGCCAATGATGAATTGCAACCCGAGGGTTCCCAAGTTCTACGTTTGGATCGTAAGTACTTTTGAGCAGCTTGATTAAATATGAGGCTGGTAGTCTCATCGACCTGGAACAGGTCCGGAATGAGCAGGATCCCATTAAAAGATATAAATCGGAGTCATCAATATCGCTAGGGAGATATAGTACATCGTCATCTTCAACTAGAACGATCTTAAATGGCATAAATATCAGTCGACTTGATTTCAAGATTAGATACTCACTTGCATTGGCTCCCCTTCGAGCAATACCCTGGTAGCACCTGTCACAGCCCAGCACATTAAGCGCATGCGGAATGTTGGAGACCGTAGTCCCGATAAGCAGGTTTTGACCTCGGGACTGAATCTATCCATCATACTGGCCAAAAGCTCCGGACACGGTGCTCCAGTACCGGCAAGAAAATCTTCTATAATGTCTTGAAAAGTCTTCCCAGTAAATTGAGGACCAGCAGCGCTGAGCGCTTGGGCCAGTTCATCCAATGATGGCTGCTTGAGATCACAAGAGATGCTGATGTTTAGAGAAGCAAAATCGCGAATTGTAGACATTTCCGCAGTTCGAATAAATTCTTCAGGTCCCCCAAAGAAGCTGCGCACAATCTGCAAAATAATATTAAACTCTTGATACTAGGCGTACTTCTTAGACTTACATCAACAAGATCGATCCCTGTAGCACAAGGAAGTAAGAACCCCTTAAGAAAAGCAGCAAAATAGGCGTTATCGATGTCTATGGGACCAATGACAACATTATGAAGCATTTCCCATGCAAGCTTGTGGTGACCAGCTTCTGAACGTCCATGCAAGACTGCAAGCTATGGTAGACATTAGTTGAGTACAAATAGAAGATTCTGAGCGTCGCACCTGTATATTGTGATATGAGGCAAAGTGTGAACTGAATTCCGCAATGCTATCCATCGGCCCAATATTCAACCAGCGCTCTAGCATCTCACTGATTGAAGGCAAATAGGAGGAGACCAACTCATGATGAAGGCAGGATATGTTACAATCATTGAGGAGATAAATGAGGAGAAGAGGATTCAAGTGTCCCGGGTAGTGTCCATAAATGAGAGCTAATCCAGTTGCAGCCCCAAACAGAACCAGTTCATCATGCTTATTGGATGATATTTGCAGGTCGGCAGATTGGAGCGTCGTGTATTCCCCATAAAGTGGAGTACAAAACTCATGCTCACGTTCCTCAAAAAATCGACGGAAGACCTCGGTAATGGCTGATTGTTCAAGACCAGGCCCTGAAGAGATATAATCATCGTGTTCATCGACGCTAGCAATGCAGTAATTCAAATCAGCAGTGTTTTGGCTAAAGGATACAATCTTACCAAACAAAGTGGCGGTTTGGAGATAAAATTCGACTCCAATCTCCACTTTGTACGGAGATTTTCATTTGAGCAATAAATTCTGTTGCCAGTTCTTGTTCATTTGTACCCTTTACCTGAAGGCCAGGACAGACTAATTCTCCACGGTGTACCTCTGCAACAATTTTGAAAATAGCTTGGGTGCGTTCATCGTCAAAGAATACAGGAATGAAATCAAGAGGGACGGGCTGTTTCCAGGGCTCTCCCCATAGCTTCTTAGGCAATGGCTGCTCCATCATTGAGGAAGTTGGAATCTGAAACTAAGAATTAGATACCAACAAAAGAGAAATAATTGAACCATGGCCTACAGAACGGAGAGCATACGGTCCATTTGACTGAGGTTGATTTTCATTTGGTGTCCTGGGCGATGCTGGTTCAAGCTCCTGATTATCTTGTTCTCCTGAAGCTTGTGTCGTTAATAATTGAGCTACAACTCTTGAATCCTAAAGCACAAAAATCAGGGCACAAATTTCTAGCAAATATAATGGAATATTTGCCTCCTCATCGCTGTTCTCAGTATCTAGCTGACATGACTCTTCTAGTTCCTCTTCATCCAGGGCATGGATGTTGAGATTTGCATCTGAGTCATTGCGGAACATGCTATATATACGGATGGATAAACAGCGATGAATGCGAACTGTATCGTCTGATCCCAAATATGCTTGAGCTAAGCTAACGTTGGTTTCAAGTGGGTGGTTCCGAATAACTGCAGGACTGTATTAGATATTTGACTTGATAGTTTATGTTAGAGGTTTACTTACGAGTGTGAAGCTGAAAATGATTGTCCCGGGTCACAACTAGCTTGGGAACGACATATGTACCATGGCTAGCCAAAAGATTTTGGACCGTTGTATTTCGCTCATAGGGCATAGACCTAAGTTTTGAAGTATTGTATGATCCATTGGCTCGACCATGATTACTAAATCCTAGCAATTGCAGAGGAAGAAGTTCTTGTGGAGCTAGCGGTAATGAGGAGGAAACCGATGGAAGATCATATCGACGCCTGAGCTTGAGCGTGATATCGGACATTAGGTCAAAAACCGTAGTAGAGGTTGGAAGGTTCGAATATTGATGAAATAGGCCCAAGGCATCAAGCACCATACGGTACGCGTCCTTGTTAATTTCATAAAAGATTAACTGCTTCGGAAGTTGGTAGAACTGGCAAATATGGATATTTTCAACAAATGGACATTGGGAAAATAGAAACATCCATACCTTAATGTCGCTTGTTGGAGGAAGCGGCAAATAGATCAAAACATCGATAGTCACAACCTCTATTCCTCCAGTAGCTACGCTGATACAGTCATCGATACTTGGAATTCGATCTCTACGACCAAGCCCAGGTGGCCGGACAGCTTTTCCACGCCTCTTGTCTTTTCTGGGGTTCTGAGGGAGTGACTGACTCGCATGATCAAGACGCAAATGATTGGTACGCTGGATAGCTGTGAGACCCGGAAAGCCCGAAGCTGTAGTGATACGAGCATGTCCCTGAGAGCCTATCATTTGTCCATACCCATCAGATGTACCTGCAACTTGCATACTAGAATATGGTCGGCATGCAGGAGGAGGTGGTGGTGGTAATGTACTGCCAGATCCAATAATAGGAAGAGGCTGGGCCTCAATATTTGACGCCTGAGTATGTAGTGGAATAGATGAAGGAAGCATTGCTGCAGAATGAGCATGGCGTGAATTCGATGAAGGAACCTGAGTATGCATGGTCCGCTGTACTGGAAATGTGGTAGAAGCAAGAGGCGGAATCTGATTTTCGTTGAAAGGAGGAAGAGATCTTTCTGCCAATAATGAAGATGGTAGGTTTTGAGCCTGGTTTGACTGGGTAGATACACGGGACTGCAGCCTAGCATCAGAGGGTGATATATTCATAATCTGTGCTGGAAGAGAAGCAATTGTAGACGAGGATGAATCAGAGTTCTGCAATGAAGAAGTTGTAACGGCTTGCGATGATGTTGGATTGGAGGAAGGGGCAGGAAATAATGGTGCTTGACTGGGAGAATTCTGCGATAATGCTTGTGAAAGTAGAAAAGACTGTATATAATATATGATATTAAGACATCTGTCCGCATGGGAAGGCATAAACATACCTGAAGAAGCATCGGAGGAAATTGATTCTGACTCATGAACTCCAGTGCCTGGGCATTTGGCGTTGCCATAAATGACTGCAGTAGGCGGGAAATTTGGTCGCTGTTGGTATTGCTATTGCCAGTATTACCAGCATTGCCATCCATTGCAACTGGAACGTACAAGTAAGAGGAACGTAACAAGTAAGAGGAATGGATATAGTTCAAGAGAACGCTATATATCGTTGTCGTTATATTATCTGTGGGTGATTTGGTGGCAGCTTGCGCATAACCAATTACTGCTCATGATGAAGTTGTTGGTAAGGTATTGAGAACTGGTAGCTCATGTCTTGAGAGACCGTTGATAACATACCCAGAACCGATTGAATGTCTTGAGAGACCGTTGATAACATACTCGGAACCAATTGATTGGTGCAATGGATACACAAACAAGAGATTGAAAAGGACCAAGCTTCGGCCATGGAAACAAAGCAAGAGTAGTTTCAAGGCATCAACAAGAACTCAGAAACAATGTGCAGCAGCTCAGTGGATTAACGACTAATGGTTGTAGGATGGAATTATACAGAAGTAAATCTAACATTTAAGGCACCATGCGGATCAGCGGAGGACATGGAATATTGCTCAAAATCTGCCGTCATAGTATACGCTAGGCGCAGGCTGTGCACTATTTTTTTCATCACGATCCGGCTTTGGTTTAACTCTCTCTCTAAGTCATACCTTCATCACTCCCTTTGTAACGGTCAACCATGGTTGTGACCTGGATCCTCACTCTATCCGTAACTCTGACGTTGCTCGCATTCCCTGTAGCGTCCGATTGGACGTCTACACCTTTCAATGCACCATCGTATCCCCTTGCGGTGCGGACTCCGTACCTTTCTGCTTGGTTCCCTTCCCCAGAAGGTGGCGTGGCATTGAACCAAGCGTGGCCCGAATTTTGGACAGGAGCAGTCAGTGGTTTTTCATGCAACGCGTGTAATACTCAAAATCGCCACAGACTTTAGGATGGGCCGGTTTCGCGAAAGTAGACGGGGTTGCCTATAGCTTCTTGGGTGAAAGTAGCGTGACGAATTTTACGAAAGCTACTCAAGTTAGCGCAGAAGTGCGTCAATCGTCGATGGTGATAATCAAAACGTGACTAACTTCGTATGATGGTGCAAGTTCACCTCAACGCGGTCAATTTTCGTGCTTTCTGCAGGACCTGTGGACCTCACTGTAACATTCCTTAGTCCCATTGAGGTAAGAGCCTGTAATTTGGGATTGGCTCTTTCCAGTGAAAAACTTTCCCTGTGTTGTCAGCCCGAGGACCTCGTAAAACAATCTTTTCCGTTTTCTTACCTTTCTGTTTCTGCATCTTGTAGCGATGGGTCGTCGCACAGTGTTTCTGTCTACACTGATATAACCGGAGAGTGGCTTGCCACCGACCATACGGCAGCAATAAACTGGACCACTACTACAGGAGATGTCTTAACACACCAGTCGCAGCTGAAAAACCAGACAGAATACACTGAAGGTGACGGCCGAATTTTGCGTACGCAGAGCATCTTTTGAACACTCCCTTTGAAGCATATTACTGATTTATTATTGTTTGAACGAAATAGAGGGTTCCATGTTTTACTCGACGAGAAATGTCGGTATCGTTCGCTGCTAAAATTTCTCAACTTCATCTATCTCATTGTCTTCCATTGGTATAGGTCGATGGCGCAACCTATCAAACAGGTTCAAGCACGGTCGTTCGCTCTTATTTCATCAGTAATGGCAAGCTCGCCAACACTCGAGATACCAATTATCGGGCAATAGATAACGATTGGCCGGTATTCGCCTTTGCCCGTTCACTTGGCCAAGTAACGAAAGACACACCTCAATACGCAGTGTTTTCTGTTGGTCATGTTCGCGACCCAGTGATCAAATACATCCAGAATAACGGTGTCACTTTCGAAGGCCGCAGCTACTACTTTTGGAGCACTTACTCAACGATCTCCGGCGCAGTACGCAAGATGTTCACATTTGCGTGGATTTTCTTTTGGCGCTAAGAGCCCTTTATACAGATAACTGCCTTTCTCTCCGACTATTCTGAAGCATTGTCGCGAGCGAAGGCCCTTGATGAAAAACTTCAAACTGCAGCATCTTCAATCTCGTCAGATTACGCAGATATCGTCGCTCTTTCTATGAGACAAACCTTTGGCGCTACAGAATTGACAATATCCGGATCTCCCGGTGCTTGGAATACAGACGACGTGCTCATGTTCATCAAAGGTGTGTGTGTACTCGAATTGCCTCCAGAGTATCATATCTCATCCGACTTTCCCAGAGATATCTAGTGATGGTGTAGGTTTGTCTCGAATCCCTATTCCTTCAATTTTCACTTAAATGTATTAGAACGTTAACACGGTCGATATCATAATGCCGGTAGGTTCTATACGCTCAGTCCATATTTCTTGCTTCTCATGTCATCCTCCCAGGCTTGGCCAGCCTTTATGTACTTGAACCCAAAGCTTGGAGAGTACCTGTTGTTACCCCTCTTGCAATATCAGGCTACAGGCCAATATCCCAATGAATGGGCCGTACATGATCTCGGTGGGTGACGACTGGGTTATACAATCATCGAGCCAATCTACGAGTCTTACGGAAAACTGTTTACATAGGTGCTCATTAGTAAGTTCTGATCGTTTTTCTTGCCCTCCGTATTTTTCAAAGGTTTCGCAGCCCGATTGCCAACGGTCACGACCAGGGCTTAGGTATCTGTCTACTGTTTTCTTGAGATGCCTTTTTCTGACGTGAATCAGACGAGAAGATGCCCATAGAAGGTGAGCAGAAGATCCACATGAAATTCCAAGAATCGCACTAACCCAATCTTACAGAGTGCGGAAACATGATCAACATGATGCTGGATTACACCCAAAGGACGGGTGATGCTTCATTGGTGAAGGCCTATGTGTGTAGTAACAGTTTCAATAAATCTCGCAAATATTGACCCATTCATTAGCCCATTCATCTCAACCAATGGGCAGAATATCTTGTTGCAAATACTCTGTTTCCTGCGAATCAACTGACAACCGTCGACTTCGATGGGCCACTTCCAAATCAGACAAACCTTGCAATAAAAGGCATCATCGGTATTCAGGCCATGTCTGTCATCTCCAGGAAATATCTCGATGACGCTGGATCCGCAGACTCGTACAGCGTGAGTTCTGTCAAAAGCAGTGATAGAAACTAGCGATACTCAGCTGTTCCGTCAGTCTACAGCTGCTTCCTATCTGAAAACATGGCAAAAATACGGGATAAGTTCAGATGACACCCATGTCGTTTTAGAGGCAAGTCTTGTTATTCCTAGTATACAACATCACTGACTAAAAGCATTGGTGATAGTACGGGAATCAGACAAGGTGAATTTGAAATAGTTTTTGTGTCTTCACGTCTGATTTTTTTGAAGCAACGTTTTGGCGTTCAACCTTGCAATGGATAAACTTCTCGGTCTTAATTTCATTCCTGACTCTGTGTACTCCCTGCGTACGTACATTGCGCCCATGGAATGTGAACCACATTGACAGAGAATTGTTTTCAGAATCCACCTACTACGAAAACCACTTGGGTAACTGATTTTGTGAATGAAGATAGACTTGAGAATAATCGTGTGTATAGCGAAATATGGATTCGCTCTCGACAGTAGAAGTACCTACACATCGTCAGGTATGTCTTATTTTGCTATTTACTTCCTCGGAAACTTACCTATCTTAGAATGGATGATTTGGACGGCAATGACTACCTCGACCTCCGTTAGAGACAGCTTCATCAAAGCTATACACAACTGGGTCTCAAGTGGAAAATCCAAGACTCCGTTCACGGACAGATTTGACGACGCCACGGGCTCCAGCAGCGCAAACAAAAACCGGCCTGTGGTTGGGGGAAACCTTGCATTGGTATACTCAGAATTTTTGCATTTCTGGGAGATCTAACGGCTCTCTTTCCAGCTTATTCTATAATCAGATGCATGGTAAACATTCAGCTCTGTGACCTTTGACCTCCTCGATAACTTACAAGTACGTACAGGGCTTAACCTCCCTTTAAGAACCCTTATCCATATATTTATTGATACACATCGCTCCTTGTAACACGTTCTTTTGAACTCAAACATTCTTTTTGAATTAACTGCGTTTGATATGGCCAGCTTTGACACACCCTCCGGCAATATCCGGCATAAAAGACCCGACTGACCCCACTGCTTTTCTTACATCCATTATCTCACAATCTGAGTATCTCTGTTGATACCTTACTTTACCTCGACCGTCAGACAAGAGCTCTTAGCTCTCCGGCGAGATAGTATCCATAACATCACGCACATGATGGAGAAGACTCAAACCGCGATTGAGGAACTGGGTAACGAGTCAATCGAGGCTTCCGCAGAGTCTACAAGAATAAATCGTGATGGCTCTCTACCTGAAGATATTCCAAAAGCTGATGCCGATCCGTTTGATGTACCAGACGGCGGTACAGCAGCCTGGCTCTGTGCCTTTGGCGTACGTCGTTCCCTGTTCACGATATTTATGATGTGATGAATTATGTGTAGGGATTCATGATTTCATTTACATGCTGTGTGTAAATTATGAATACTCGATCTTTCGCGGAAACTTGATTCGTTTTTTTTGCCTTGCTAGATGGTGTCGCGAATACTGTGAGCTGTACTCTTTCGGACCGAAATTAATTACACTCATACCTCATCGTTCCATTATGAATAGTTCGGCGTGTTTGAAGACTACTATTCAGCTAACCAATTATCCAATGAATCCCTGAACAATATATCATGGATTGGTTCACTACAACTTTGCTTAATCCTGCTAGTTGGGTGTGTCTCTGGACCGCTGTGTGATGCAGGGGTAAGCACTCATTATTCGCTATTAATACTTGTGTTTATAACCATCATTGAATATCATAGTATTTCAAGCATTTGATTGGATTTGGGGGACTCTTATTCTTTTTCTGCTTGATGATGACTTCGATTTCTAAGGGTAAGTCTTACCTTCCTACAATATCCTCCCCCGTCAATCAGCTTGAGCCTTCAAAATACAGTGTACTACCAGTACATCCTTAGTCAAGGGGTTGGGGTTGGAGTAGGTGCTGTTGATGTTCGGTGTTTTTGAAAGCGACTTTTGAACTTGCCCTCAGCTTGCACAAGGCTTCCTATTCACTCCTGGCATGGCCGTCCTAACTCATCACTTCAAACGTCATCGGACTCTGATTTTCGGAATATTTGCTGCTGGTGCATCAATCGGCGGTGTGATACTTCCTATTGCTTTGCAGAGACTTTTCGAGGAAGTAGGATTTGCTTGGGGAGTACGCATACGTAAGGACCACTAGCACTCGCTGTAGTGTGTTGTAGCTCAGTTGTTTTATAGTGGCATTCATCGTTCTTGCTTGTGTTGGAACGGGATTTATATGTTGTACAACGCGATTCCCACCTAGGAAAGGAGGTCGAGTGTTGGATATCCGAGTCTGTGAGTTTCTTAGTACCTCTTAGACTGTTGGTTTATCTTTGATTGTACTTATCTTGGTAGTCAGATCGCCCTCGTATACTCTTCTTGTTTTGGGCGCGGGTTTTGTCGGCTTGGGCCTGTAAGTCTGTTAGTTTCCTTCACACGTCTACATCCTGGCTGACCCGTGCTCAGATATGCACCCGTAAATTTCGGTGTAGTCTATGCGACGGACCATCAAATGTCTCAACAATCAGCGTTCTATTCGTAAGTACGATTCCTCTCGTGACTCATGAAATGATGGAGTGAGGGTGTAACACTAAGTACAGTCTTGCGATTCTTAACGCCGGATCTCTCGTTGGCCGCACGCTCCCGAATATACTGGCGACCATATTTGGGCCTTTGAATCTACTCATCGTGGCATGTACTGCATCGTCCGTTTTGTTGTATATATGGTTTCTGGCGACTGGAAACGGGGCTATGCTCGTGTTTGAGGCGATATATGGAGTTACCAGTGGCAAGTCTTTTCCTCAATCGTTCAAGCCTCCGCCGCTCATCTGGCACGTTTCATCAAGGAGCCTACGTGTCCTGTCTACCTGCTGCAACGGCAAGTTTATCAAAAAATCCCAATGAAACTGGGTTTGTGCTTCTTTTAATGTTTCATTATTGAACAGACTCTAATTTCGCTTTTTGCAGGTTACGACTCGGAATGATGTTTTTCTCAACATCTTTCTTCTGGCTTGTCAGCTCACCGATACAAGGTGCTCTAATCGGAATCGAGAGCTCATTTTGGCCCGTTTGTGTTTTCAGTGGCTCCACAGTTATTCTAGGAGTGCTCTTCATGCTTTTTTCGCGGTTTTTGGTGCGGAAGGAGAATCATACATGGAAAGTTTGACTATACATCGACGGGGAAACCGAAACTTTCGGATCCTCGTTTTCATGAGTAACGGAAGAAGGAATGTACTTGAACGAAAGTTATTTGCGACATCGTCAAGCTCTACGACTCTCTGAGTACGGCAGGAGTACGGATTGCCGTTTAAACGTTTACAAACTTGGATTTAGAATTGAGAAATGCCGGTAGATATCGGCAAAATTTAACTCGCGAGTTTCGGACGGACGTCGGATATGTTCCCGCCAATGTGAATTTCAACATACATCCTTTATCTTCAACCACGAAGTAGCACGAAGTCGCCTTATATTGGCTTATGATCTGTGATCTTCTTCTTCTTGTCGCTCAACTCAATGTCGCCTAAATCCCCGCAAATACCGCCAACATTTGGTCGCGCGCGAATTGTAGTACTCCTAGCCTCGTTGCTGGCTGCATTGAGCGCTGGAACAAATTACGTGCGTTGTTCTATTTGTAATATCGAAATGCTGAACTAAATGCCTTACATCCGCCATTAGGTATTCTCAGGTGAGCCAAGGCTCTTCATTCAACTTGACCTCACCATAGGAGTAGTTTCGACCTACTCTTGAGAAGCTTAACTATAATAATGCTACTCAATTTCCAGCGTATAGTCCTCAACTAGGTTCAAGGCTTGGTCTAACCCACACTCAACTGAATCTGATAGGCCTAGGAGGAAATGGTGAGGTCCAATCATCTGGGGTCAACATGATACTGATAAACCCAGTGGGTGTTTATATCAGTGCACCAATCCTGGGCAAGATTGTAGATTCACGAGGTCCCAAATCATTGCTGCTTTCTGGATTCGTGCTCTTGCTTGCCGGGTACTCTGGGATACGACTCGTCTACGACGCTGGACTACCGGAAAATGTTACAGCGCTATCGACCGCAATGTTTGCTTTGTTGATAGCGTGCAGCTTCATGACTGGAGTAGGAGGAAACGGAGGATTGTGTGCGGCGATAAATACCACTGCGAAAACATTCCCGGATAAGGTGGTAAGACACTATTTCTTGAATTCTCGATGTATTTCATGAACCTAGTACCATAGCGAGGCTCCACGACTGGCTTAGTTATTTCCGGCTTCGGACTCTCTGCCTTTCTATTCTCCGCAATCGCACATCTTGCCTTTCCCGGAAACACATCTTCATTTCTGCTCCTTCTCTCACTTGGAACCTCCTTTCCCATGCTCGTTGGCTTCATTTTTGTCCAACCTATTCCTCTTCCTCCTTCCGAAGCCCATCATGAATATCTTGACGTCGATCAAGCGGAAGCCGATGCAGCATCTCTAGCGCCGTCTATCCTTTCCGCACCTGCGCACGAGAACGACAGCCGGACACACCTTCCGACACACGACCGTGAGGAGGGTCTCGAATCGGGTTTGGGACATCGGCAGGTCCCTACAACGGCTGTGGAAGAATACATCGCTGAAGCGCGGGGTGGAGCAGGAATAGAACTAAGCCCACCGCGAGGTGTATCTCATAGTCCACGCCCCGGTAGGCATCGGTCGAGAAGTACTCGGAGAAGCTTTAGTCAGAGCGGGAAGCAGTTTTTGGACATAGGGCCAAACATATATGGTGTCAAGTTGTGGACATCAATCGACTTCTGGATACCGTTCATTTCGCTCTCGCTACGTCAGTCCGCTCTTATTCGCTGTTGTTTCATTGCTGAAATACAAATCATTCCTGCTTCAGTGAGCGGCACTGGGCTGATGTGTCAGTTTCTCTTCTCTCTTACCTCCCTATAATCGTTAAATCGAAACAAAAACTAGACATCAATAACATCGGGTCCATGGCGCAAGCACTGTATGTCTATTCACATAAAGACAGGTACAGTGAAGTCGATGCATCGCAATGGCAAGCCGCCCAAGTATCCACTATTAGTTTCATGAACTTTTCAGGACGCGTACTAATTGGTACGTGGTCAAATTCCCCCTGCTCTCACGAGGGCATCGATGACGGTATACGTACAAAGGATTACTCGCGGATTTCATCAAGTCACGATTAGGGCTTCCACGTTCCACACTATTGATCGTGGTGGCCTCTATCATTCTATCTTCGCAAATTGTTGCTGCTTACATCGAGAATGTCCGTGTTCTCTGGCGAGCAAGCGCATTGTTAGGTTTAGGGTATGGGAGTATGTTCTCATTGTATGCCACACTGTGTATCGAATGGTTTGGACTGCGTGTGTATTTTTCGTTTGTTATTTTGGTTCGAGATCCTGACTACAACTCTTCGTCCAGCTCATTTCTCTGAAAACTGGGGTTACCTCTCGCTTTCTCCATTGTTTGGTGGAAACATCTTCTCAGTTGCCTTTGGACGGAACCTCGATGCACATGAGCGGCCTGCGGAAAGCTCATATATGCCACCACCACCGGGGATCCCCCCGCGTCAGTGTCTCGACGGTCTCGCCTGCTACGTCGACTCACTGCACCTGACAATTGCTGCATGCATTTGTGCACTGGCATTGAGCACGTGGGCGGTCTGGAGGGATCGAAGGAAGACTCTGGAAATCGATCAGGATGGTATGTACGGGAGGGTTCCAAACGTTATATGGGAGGAGGAAGAGGAGGAATCCTGACTTGGACCCCTCGGTGGAATCATAGGTTCACACATCTTCGGGCTTGACTATTTACTTTTACATGTAACTATTAATCTGATAATTAGAAATAGAAGGGGATTTTTTCTATTGCCTGTTTGCAGGTTCAAGGCTTGGATAATAATAACGAGAATCGGGATTTCATTGATTAATGTCATTGCTATAATGTAAACGATGGTCATCAACCTAGACCAAGTCTTCTATGTAGGAGAATAGTCTTTGATTAGTGCATTCATGGACCCAATCTAAACAGCAGTACCATTCGTAATCATCATAATAACGACATGAATCGTGGTCTAGATTGTACAATAAGATGTAAAAGCTTTTTCTCATTAAGATGTTGCAATGAATGACTGTATGTACTTTTCAAAACAAACTCCTTGGTACGGTATTTTATTAATTAGAGTCCGGATCCAGCCGTGGCTTTTTCTAACGCTCGCCTTACCTGAGCGACTTGAAGAACTACAGGGAAGAATTGCATGAAAACAAGCAAGTATGAAGGGAAAGCGAACACGCAACTCATCAAGGGAAAGGGATGGGAATCCATGACATTCATTACACGCTTGGAGAACGCAAGGACTTGCGGCCGCGTGAATGGCAAGTTGGTAAAGGGGTCTTCATATTGTAGGCGTACGCTTTCATCAATGAAGACTTGAGCAGTGAGCGTCCAAATGATCTACGAGCCATGTTAGATTTGAATATGAAAATTTTCTTCAACAAATTCAAGTTACAGCTATCATGGGGTCGAGAAACTCCATTTCTGGCAAATGTCCCCATGTGTCAATGAGGTCCAGGATAGCCTTCGCCGCATTGAGAATCCTCACGCGCGAAGAAATCTTATCTGAGGCAAAAGGGAGGTGTAGCTGAATATCAGCAGCACTGGCGAGAGTATTGATAATCAATTGATAATTAAGGGGAGGGACATTGACGCGGTCTATAGGCAAAAGACTCCCAATAAATCTAGGAATTAACGTGTCGAGCACACTAAAGTCCTTTTGAGATTTGGGGGAGTTAGGATCTATCATCGCGGTTGATAGGTTCGTATTTTCTCAGTTTAGTTGAAATGTACGCACCATTTTTGAGCTGGCGTCCTGTAAACGTAGCGCGTTCAAACAAGATCGCGGCCTTGGAGAACGCGGCCCTTGGGGAGTCAGCATTATCAGGCATGCCACCCAAAAAATTGTCGATCGTATGACTGTTCCTGAAGTTGTGGTCAAGGGGATTCTATAGTATAGAGCCTTCAGTCAACATCTAATGTGCAAGCCTATGATTATTTTACCTCGGCATATTCCTCCATGATAAGCGGCCACGGTGTATCTATTCTTACAGAAGGTGAAGTATATGGGATGCTAGAAGGAGTGCCATGAACAGTATTCCAGAAACTGTCCAAAGTCAGTACGGTCCAAAACGCATTTATAAGCTCTCCTTCTTCTATGGGGTCTCTAGGTGGGGCTAGTGTATCCAAAGGTTGAGCAAGGTATCCGAAGTTCCCAACGTCAGAACTACGAAGTTTGTGCAAGCCAGCACTTAGTACAAGAGAAGCAGCAGCCGTCACATGGTATTTTCCCTCTACAGTCTTACCTGCGAGGTAAAAATAGTTTCCGAGAAGAACTTCGGCCTGAATGAACTGGGTCACTTTTTGAGGGTGAGATTCGGATAGGGAATGTGCTGAACTTTGAAGCGCACGCGAAACAAGTGTGGCTTCCTGTTCCAGGGAGTTCTGGGAAGACGAAAGATGATTTCCCCACACATAGGTGGTATTCAAGAGTGCGAAGGTGGGAGCTTCGCCTTTGAAGTGCAATACCGTATTAATAAATCGGTCCCGATGCAAGAAAAAGCCCACCCAGCAGCAATTCATAATGAAATTATGTACTCTGGCAGAAGGGCCGTATTTAGTACTACTTCATTCGAACTCGCTGAAACTTACAAAATTCGTCGAATGATGGGAGGCAAGTCCTGTCAGCAATGCACGATTATTCGATTGGCATTCAAGAAGGAGCGACTAGGTCTACCTCGAAACCAGATTCTGGTAAAGGTTCTGCGGTGCTGAATGAGCGAGAATACAACAAGGAGACAAGAGATCTCAACCATTGCTCCCATTTTTGAGAAGCTTAGCCTTTGGCATCAGGATAGAGTCCACCTGCTTCGTTTTTCGCATACCCTGTGTAGCTCCTCCGCTCTCAAGGTCTTTCAGCCGAGCTTCAAGTACAGATATCTGGTCCTCAAGAACTTGAACATGCGTGATACCATTATTGTCGTTGTACTCGCAGTCGCTGAAAGCTGATGACGAATTCAAACAAGGCCCGCATCTTGGTCTCTCCCCATCACATTTCTACAGGGATGCTCTTGAGCAATGCGCAGGTACTATTGCACACAGACTACACACGATCTTTCGTCGTCTGGAAGAGCATTAGTGGATCTATTATAGTACAAAGGAACTTACTGACCTGCAATTTGTACACGCTGAACCTTTCTGAAGCGGTGTGCTTTGCTTAGCCATTTGCTCTTTAGACTTCTTTAGAATACAGACAGAGTACGGACAAGATTCACAAAAGGCAAAAGGCATCTTCGCCGCCGGCAATATTTATGTCTCCGAGCGATCGTCGCGGAGTTTACGGAGCATATTTATCGTCGGCAGATTTACTTTGGAAAGGAAAGGAAAGGAAAGAACCGACACGGTCCCATTGAGGAACAGCCGGGGCCCATGCTACATACATAGCGCCATTATGTATGCCATGGATGCTTGCAACTGACAATGATCATGATCAGCGTAAGGACACCGTCGCACAAACGCCAGTTGCAAGCATGATGTACTCTAAGTAGGGCGCACAAAAGGTTTATATTGGACTGTTTACAGTAGATTGTATAGTAGATGAATACAAATCAGGGCTGGGAACGTAAGGTTCATGGCCAGAGAACACATTGAGAACATCATAGACATATTTTGCGGTTACAGACATGACACGGACATCGAATAGTAGGCGCTTTAGAAAATCATAGTCAGACAGGGTTTGACGCAGGAGGGTAAGCTCTGGAGCAGCAACACCAACGTCTGCTAGGTACCGTTCACGGAGGTAGACCAGGGTAACGTCTTGGCGGCATTGAAGGAGAGCATGGCACTCATCCTCAATAGACAGCCTGCAAAAGCGACACAGACGCCATATGTGTGGGATGGGTGGACGATACCGTTCATTATAGCGTAGACGTTCCACACTTAAGCAGTGGCAGGACAGTAAGAGACGCGTGAAGGCGTGTCGGTGTTTTGGTACATTCAGGACCTTCAGGTATGGACGCAAGGACATGGTGGCCGATAGCAGAGCTGGGAGGCCCATTTCATTGTAGTCAGTGCAGTTGTGGAGTAGGTGTGCTTTTACGGAGTCCCTGACCATCGATGACAGTGACTCTTCACATGATAGCTCCACTTCCTTGATAATGTGCGGGAGGGCCTCGGGATCAGCAAGGTTATCAACTGTGCAGAGAACCGGAACAGGAAGGTGGCATAGGACATTTCTCAGATCACTAATCCATGCAGGCTGTCCCATGCGAACGAGATGGAATGAATGTGCTAATGCATCGGTTACCAGTCGGTGACCTTGGAGACTGAGAAGGGAATGCAGGTAAGATAGAGCAAGCTTGATACGCCGATACCTGATAGGCTCAATACCCAATTCCGTGAATAGGAAAGCTAAAGTTGACCGCCGGTTAACTCCTAGTAAGCGTCGCAGGTAGAGGTGTTGGACATTCTCCAGGTCCTCCAGCAGGGTAAGGTCAATGTCAAGCACAATTTCGCATCCAAAGATAAGGTGTGGGTCAACGCGAGCCATGTAGAGAGTTATACCTTCCTGTGGGGGCAGGCAGCCTATAGCCGGCTCAAGGGCAAATGTGGCGCGGGTAACGTTACGGGCCTTTCCAGCCTTGATATTGTATATGGCTTGTAGGATATATTTGTGCACAGAGGTGAAGTTGAGTCCGACATATTTGTATGAGGGAACAAGTTCAATCCGCTTGCTGTCGATAAGGAAGATAGGCAAGAGCGGTGGGAGAGGACCAAAGAGCATCCATTTAGTCTTCTTGACACTGATGACCATTGAGTTCAGCTGACACCAGCGAAAGAAGTGGTTGAGCTTATCCTGTAGCCCCTCAGGCGACATTGACCAGATAGCAACGTCATCTGCCTGTTCAACATGTGAAACAGGGTTGCCATTGAGGTAGACATCATCGGCATGGACTGGGATGTGTAGGTCAGAGAAGTATATGTTCCACAGCATAGGCGATAATGTATCCCCTGTGAGGACACCTATAAGACTGCGGAATGCAGCCGTAACCTCATCCCCATGATGTACAACATATGTCATGCGAGCGTACAGGAGTCGGAGCCAGTCAAAAAGAGGTCCAGACATCCCCCTGTTAAAGAGTTTCCTCCAAAGGGTAGGGATGTCTGTTGACGGGAATGCATTTTTCAAGTCAACAAAGGCAACATAGAGCGGCTTGTCATTAGCCCGTGCAGTCTCTATAGCGCATCTGAGGATGAAAGAGTTGTTATGAGTTCGATATCCTTCCCGAAAACCATTCTGAGAGTTAGGCAGGATCCCGGCTTCCTCTGCCCATGCACGTACGCGGTGATCGATAATGAGCGTGAGCATCTTGAGGAGACATGATTCCAAACCAATGATACGATAGCTATCTGGCTCCTTAGCGTTGAGGCCAACTTTCAGAATGCCAATCAAAACTGTTGTGAACCACTGTTGAGGAGCGTCGAGGTCAAAGATGCAACGGTTGAATAGTGCAGCCAAAGTGGTATTCGGTATTCTCTCTATTTGACGATAAGATACTCTATCAATACCTCGCGCACTCTTTGAGCTGCGACCACGAAGCTTTTTCTTGCAGAGTGCAACATCATCATCAGTGATTGACCTAGAGAAGAAGCGCGAGGCAGTATGATCTGTTGTCTGACGTGGGATGGCGCTCGAAAGCAGGGTGTTCAACTGCCTCACATCCCTGTCAAAGTAGGCAGGGGGATGGGGTAGAGGGTTAAGACGCGCTTCAAAAACTGTGCTGAGTTGCTGAGCAGAGACAGAGACAGGACGTTTCTTTGCATCAGTCCATTCCCGAACACAGGACCAGAAAGAGAGAGCAGTTTCACAGTTGATGAGCTTGACTAGATTACCGCGATGCTGTTCACGCTCATGAGCTCTCCCTCTGTGAGACTCTCGAGGTATACAGTCTTCGTCTTCACGATCTGGATCATTCGGCCCAACAGCTGTCCATAGCTTGGGGGGTACATGCTCTGGCAATCGTGTTGACACTTTCCTCACATTCGGTATGGATTGCGCCAAGTGTTCCAGGTGAGGTAGTGGATGTGGAGCTAGTAGCGACCAGACGTTAGCATTTACATCTCTGACTGTTTTGTAGGCGATGTCTTTTGCTCGTTGTAAGTGGCCATTGCCCCTGGTAGGGATCACATGAAATTCGACGGCGGCGACACGGGCGCATAGGTGTGATACAACAACCTTGAGGATATCACTATGAGCGCAGTCCCAGGCATGTTCAGCATTATCTGCAGCCCAATAGCACAGGGATCGCACAAGGTATTCTGAGGTGACATTGATGTGTAGTGTACGTTCAGGGAGGCGATTAGCTATTTGTAGTGCCGGTATCATGGCAGATAGAAGAGCACGATTGATCGTAGGCTTAGGAACGGTCTGGATTCGGAAGCTGACATTGTTTTCACTATTTTCACCCCAAAAAAGTGAGAACGCAGCCTGAGGGGAACCCATATCATCTCGCCCAGATGAAGCAGTCAGGTAGACCACTATGCCTCCGTTATCTGCATAAACTGGACCATATAGAGTGTCAATGGCCTCGGCAGTTGTACGGGTTGAACGAAGAGCATCCTGAACCATTAGATCCAAATTAGTGGGAGAGAGCAGTGGTGAGATTTGATGGTGAGTCAGCATATCAGACTGGAGGACCGGTACAGGGGCAGCAGGAGGGTGGTATGGGATAGTTAGCTCAAGTGCTGCATGGTCCGATAGTGGAGATCGTGACACTTTCAAAGCACCTTCTGTAAGGCTAACAAGTGCAGGCTTTGATGCCAAAACATAGTCAATCACGGAGGCACCCATTGGCTGATACGATGTTAATTGACCTGGTTGGGTAGATTCAAATGAGGTTCCATTGAGAACATGGAGGCCGTTATCAGAGCAGAGCTGTAGGATCCAGGTCCCCCTTGCATTTGAGATAGTATCGGAGGAAAATCGTGGCGGGCTGTCCACACAACTGACGCGGTCTCCGATACGACCATTCAAGTCAGCGAAAACCAGAACAGGCTTTGGACTGGAGGCACATCGTGTGATGATACTTGCGATGGACTCTTTCGGATCCGCCTCGGACCAATCGCCATAGTATGAGCCTGAAGGTAGCAGGTACCCACCGATAATGCGGTAGTCAGCGGTTTCCACCACTACTACATCAGGAGCACATAGATCTGAACGGACTTCAATAGCTAAACTCGAGCGAAAAATCACAGCAACACCACCTCCAGCCCGCTTCAGTGCATGACAATCGGGACGTGGAGAGGATATAATGTCATAGCCTTCAGGAAGGGGAAGAGAGTCTTCCTGTCCTGGCCTGAGCCAGGTTTCTTCAACGACAATGATATCGAAAGTTGTGATATACTTGAGAAAGGCAGGGTTACGTAGCTTCAAAATAAGACGGCCATGTATATTCCAAGCAAGACTGCGGATAGGTGATAAGAGAAGAAGAGGTAGTAGTATTGGTATCAGTTGAACTGTGCGTGTAACATCCCATAGGCCTAGGTCCTAGCGCAGTGACGGCGTCCGACATGCCAAATCCAGGAGCCCTTATGCTTGCACTGCCAGTACCATTACTCTTAGGCTGTAGAAACTCATAGGAGTGCGTAGACTGGACAGGGGGACGCTGAATGAGTGTGAAACGACAGCCTTGGAGGCTCGCTGGGCAGCGCTCAGTGGCAATCCACACAAACTGTGATGCAGAGTCCGCAGTCTTGAAGCGAATAACAACATGAGGAGGTAGGCTGTGGTCATTCATACGATCCTGCAATCACAGTAGGAAAGGCCGTGTCTGCTGCATTCAAGATCTTTTTTTACTAAGCTGGAGGTCCCCTCATCGGCCTTGACACCTTCTACCAGAACATCAGTATAGGTAGGGTCATGGTGGAACCGTTTTGCCCCAGTTTGGATCCTGGCAAGTCGGTGGCAAGTAGTACAACAGGCTGACAATAGGTCACTACGTTTAAAAATTTGAGGCAAGGGTCTCATAAGGTCCCATACATAGCGCAATTACAGTATGCAAGTGACTATTCATATACTGCAGGAATCCGAGCATATTATGAATGGCGTACTGCCAGCTTATGGAAATATTGAATTAAAATTTCACAGAAATCCCCACATTCTCGGTCAAAACTTTCTCTGTCGTTTCCCAGAGCTCTTTGGCCAACTTCGAATCTTTCGCTGCCTCCGACTCGTCTTCAGGGGAAGGAACGCCGTATGGCATTACGTACGCTGCAGCCCATTTGCTCCTTTCTTCCCAAACCTCTTCCGCAGCAGCAACAAACAAGGGCGCCAGAGCACCTTGGAGTGGAGTTTGCGCGTCGTCGAGCCTGGACAGGTTCTCGGGGCCCACGAAGTTTATTGAACCATCTATGAACGGCCGCGAATGAAACGAATATGTCAATCATCAAGATGGCGCGTATGTATGGGTACGAGCGAGCCTACCAGTTTTTACACCTCCTGGATGAACTGCGACCGAGATGGCCTGGATTCCGGCTTCATCCAATTTACGCTGAAGTTCTTTGGCAAAGAGGATGTTGGCGAGCTTAGAGTACCCTTTTGAAAAGCGGAGAACGCAATTAGTAAATATTTCATCTCAGTTGTAAAGCTTCTCACCGTAACGTTTCAAATTAGCCTCTGCGCCATCTCTTTCACCGAAATCGTTGTTCAAAGATTGAAGAGAGTCAACTTTCACGTCTGGAGTAATGAGAACATGTGCAATGGAACTGAGCTACATAGACCGTGTATGATTAAGCGAGCATTGGTAAGAGTACGTGTGCCAGAAGCTAAAAACGTACCGTGACTATCCGTACACCAGGGTGGTTCTGAGCGGTTTTCTTTAACAGCGGGAGCAATCCCAGGGTGAGAACAAACGGAGCGAAATGGCTGAAGGAGAAGTCAGAAACCTGTGAAGTGCCATAAACACGAGAAAGGCACACTTGACCGTCATAGACGTGGATATACCATGATCGTCCAACTTAAGGCCACAGGCAAGACTGATGTTGAATATCAGTTGGTTATACAACCCCAAGGAGAATGGACGCTCACACTGCAGCATTATTCACTAGAATATCCAGCCTTGATTCCTTGACGACAAAAGCTGCCGCAACGTCTCTGACTGCCCTCAAGTTGCTCAGCTCGACAACGAAAGGTTCCAATTGTTTTACTGATATTCTGCCTTGGGAGCTGGCGAGGATGGCAGTTATCCCAGCTTGTGCTTTATCCAACGTACGAGCGTGGACGTAGACTTTAGCGCCTTGAAGAGCAAGCTGGTTGGCGACGTTCCACCCGATACCGAGCGGCGAGCTGTGAATTCAGGGCTCAGAGTGATCGGAGGTATCGCTGAAATGACTGGGGTCGAAAAGGCTTACTTTGAACCAGTTACCAGCGCGACTTTTCCAGTTAAATCAGGGAGCAAACTAGGATCGTATTCCTACATAGACAGCACCAAGATAAACGAGTGCGTGCATCAAGTTGATGGATACCTACATCGCGACGAATGGCAAGATTCATTGGGTGTGCTTCAAAGTTGTTTTGGCTGTGAAGTTATGTGAGAGTAGATTTCGCTGAGAGCAAGAGCACACACACCATCTAAATGAGAAGAGAACACCTTTAATAGGGAATTAGAGCCCATGACATCCCCAGCTGTCAAGGCTGCTCAGCAATCGAATCGGTAAAAATTTCGCGAGCGTATCGGGATATAGACTTCTGATCCAGCATTAGCTGAATCACAACCCGAGGAGTGTATAGACGGTTGAATGGCATTCCCACAGTCAACGGAAGATTGGATGAGGCCATGCGTACTTGGAGCCGTGAAGCTTGAAGTGTTAAAAGAGCTTGAAATCAAAGTTGCCTACCGACTTTAGTCACTGTCACAGAGTCATGTGAGATGACAGATCGTGATGTAAATGTAGGCCTTGTTCTTTCCTGTATCGATACGTGCTTGTTCTCCATATGATATCACAAAAACGTTGCCTTCTTGCCAATTTTGATATAAGGGTCTTTTGGATTCTATAGAAACGGACCGACCTTCTTTTTTCGACTTTGGGCTTCAACGATCGTGGATAGACTGTCATTCTTCCTTCATTCAACCCACGAAGGTCAGAACCTTAGGAAAGAGAAAGAGTGTGCCTCCCCACGTACTCTACGAAAGTACATATGCAGTCAACAGCAGCTACACCTACCGCAACATCTTCGCCCACCGGGAGGAAGAAGCCTCGCTGTCGCACCTGTGGATTACCGATGGAAGGTCATCGAAGGGGCGAGTGCGAAGGTTCAACTGAACCTTCTGAATCGGGCTCTCAAAATGATTCGGATGATAACGATTACTTGGCTCGGGCTGGCTCAAATGGCGAGGTGAAAGGTGAGCGTGAACTTGATACTTTCTGGTATTTTATTGATGGACTCACATCCTAACCTTAGATACTACCTACCCTAAAATCCCTCGCTCGTCGCCTTTTAGACTAACCAGGGCATCATACAAAGCCGCACAGAATCATAATGACGATCAATTCGCTGTTGGTGGCGACCGTGATCCAGGCATCAGGCCTCCTACCGGTACACCGCCGAAGCAAAAAACAAAAAACTCAAATCTGAAATCAAAAAAACTTCCCACTTCTCGCAATGACGATGGAGGTTTGGTTGCTGTTGTTCGCACAGACCAAGAAGACTCATCATCGTTCGATGGTCAAGAACAGAAACCACTGTTCACGGCTGTTGAAACCAATCCCAAAGCAGAAACATCAACGGTTTCTGCTGTCAAACACGAAGAAGAAGCCTTGCCTTCGCCCAATGCAATCATCTACGCTTCCTCAGACTTCCTTGAACTCGGTGAAGCTGGTGCAGCTCTCCGCGATAGGTTGCTCGAGAACACCGAAGGGAAAGAAGGTCATGTTGGTATGTTCTACACTCCGACTCCAGTGCGGGACAGGAAATCCTACGCGTACAAGGAATGGATTGTCGTGGGACGGGGAGAAGGCTCCGAGGCGCTTGTCAAACATATAGTCAGACTCGCGGACTCCCAATCTGTGTTGAGAAATAGAGCTCCCGGGACGTTTGTTGTAGGCGGTGAACTGGAGGTCGTTGAGGGTCCGAGGATAGTAACGATCCCGCAATTGGTGTTTGGTAGTTTTGTGGCGGTGGTGCTGTTGATGTATGTGCTCTCGACATTGTAGGTGAAACAGCATGGCCCAGAGGAAGGATTTTCTGTTGACAATTTTGGGGTTAGTATGATATGACTTTCAGCTTTCAGCTATGTTTCTATGGATTTTTCTCTAATTATGCTAATATTGAGTCTATGTCTGCATCTCTCCAAAAGTATATACCTTGACTGTGCAGAGGGAAAGGTTTGAAGGTGCAAGCGCGGGGAAAAGCTTTTATGGGACGCTGCGATATTGAACTTCACACTTCGAACTAGCGGACCCCTGGGGGGCACGACAAACCTTGCTTGATGTATGTTTTCTTCTCTCAAACCATTTTTATTCACTCATAGGGTAACGAGTAAGAGCTGCAAATGAATCAAAGCATGGCGCTACATGTTATTTGTTTTGAGCTAGATGTCCAACACAAAGTTAGAAACAATCCCGGTCACTTTCAGACAGTGAATAACATCTCGTAAAGCATCTTGAAAGACCTGCTGCTCAACCCCTCATCTTCCAAGGGTATGCGTACAATGAGTTAATGCACGTTGGGCAATTTCACGCATTCCAGTACACAATCACCCCACAACATCTTTGACAAATGAATATTTCCGAACATTTAAAAAGTTGTGCATTGGGTTAAAAGAAGTCCAAATAGAAGGAAGGAAATGGCGGTCAAGGGATTATGGAGCGAGTACGTGGGAATAGGCACAAAATAAGGATAATCATAATGAAGATGAGTACATACTACAGAGGGACATGTCAGGAAAGAAACGATAGAAAGGCGCTTAACGTGTGAAAAAAATGCACGGGCGCTTGGCAAAGACGGGGTGGCAAAGGACCTAGCAAGCAAGGTGATAACTTTCGCAGAAACAATGACATTTTACCTCTTCGAATCACAACTGCCGGACGGGACTTTCCACAAAATGGCTTTTGTCCTCCAAGAACCAATGACCGCGCCATGTATCCTATCTATCAAGGTGTTAGTCAGGCATTCTATCGAACATTAGAGGTTTATTGCCGTTTTCAAAATAGTTGGCGCCTGTTCTCACGACGTCAAATCTTTGCCATGAATCAATCCCGACCTCAGAAACACGATTGTGGACTCAAATGTTCACCGAATTCTTTGATTTTTGGTGCGATACAAAGCAATAAGCAGCCGTTAGTGCGCCCCATAGTTAGTTTTATATGATCACAATATTTTGAACATGTGGATATTGGAGGTTCTATGACCTCCAAAACACTATAACATAAGGCACAAAATTTGTGAGATCTATTCCTAATTTCTCCTGGGGTGCACTAGGTACTATCCACAAGGACTACATGCTATAAGGATTAAGCGTTACAAATTTTGTGCCTTATGTTATAGTGTTTTGGAGGTCATAGAACCTCCAATATCCACATGTTCAAAATATTGTGATCATATAAAACTAACTATGGGGCGCACTAACGGCTGCTTATTGCTTTGTATCGCACCAAAAATCAAAGAATTCGGTGAACATTTGAGTCCACAATCGTGTTTCTGTGGTCGGGATTGATTCATGGCAAAGATTTGACGTCGTGAGAACAGGCGCCAACTATTTTGAAAACGGCAATAAATCCATGCTGAAGGCAGAACACATTTGAGAGAAAAAAGGGTATTGGCCATGTCATCCTACTGCCCCAGAGAGGCTCGAACTCTCGACCTTCCGATGATCCTGATATTGCTAACAGTCGGACGCTGTAACCAACTCAGCCATGGGGCACATATTCTACCATCTGAAACAATCAACATAACATAGTCAGGGGCATTTACAGAACTAAATTGAGCTTTAACGCCATGACCTCGACATTGCAAATTTATATATGGTGGCTATAACAAGGCAGCTGATAAAGTCCTGGAAAGAATTTTGTACGAGCTCCTTTGAACAGCTTCGAACCCTTAAACGTGTTACAATAGTTTTCATAAGATGTACAGCAGCAAGGCAGATGGAATGGATGCAATTTCATATTTTGATATCTCGGAACCTGTCCCAATCTATGAAGACTAAAGCGCCGTGATCTTCAACCCGTTATCCTCAAGCGCGCGAAGGCGTTCCTCGAACCCCGAGGGAACGCGGGTTGACCATAGCCTTCCTAGATGCAATCGTTCTAATACCTCACCCACACTAGTATCCCTTTTTCCTGGAAGAACACGCCTGGTTCTACTATCTGTTCGAGCGCCTAGTGCTGAGCTTGAACATCGCGACTCAATCATCCCAAGCACCAGGCCAATTTTTTCTCGATCAATTGAGAAATCTCTCCTCGAGCTTGGAAACCTTATTCCAAATTCTTTCAAGTGAGGCAGTAGGTGTCCAGGCGTCTGAAAATATGATGCAATCGGAGCCGTTTCAGCCACTCCCGGGGAAGGCAACCACATCAGCGCTTGGATTAGCCATTTGTCCAACTGAAGGAAATTCCACGCACGATGGTCAACATCACAGAGATCTAGTTTGATAAGAGAAGATGACGTTGCCTGAATGAGCGCCATGAGATGTTTGGAGCTATATGATATTCCGTGTAAAGTAAGTGAGGTGAGGCGACATTCGGAACGTATGACCAATGAGGTGAGATCTGGTACGATAACATGGGAGAATGAGAACTCTTGAGAGCCACTGATAAGGGTAAGTATGGAAAGAGATGGATAGATGCACCGCGTGATATCAGGACCGAGCGTTTCAAGACGGTGGCTGGCGAGAATTGTGAGTGAGGAGAGAAATAGACAGGTGTAGGCGACAGGGTCGCGGAAAGAAAAGTCGTTGGTACACGAGTCAAATCCTGCAGTGACGACGCTGGTGCATAAGCATAACGCTTTATGCATTTGGTCCAAGTCTGAGTACTCCAATGTTAAGTGGCGGAGTTGATGCCAGGGCACCGCGAACTGTTCCAGTTCAAATACCGTCATGTCAAGAGATAACGTGTGCAAGCGAGGGGCATTAGACCACATACGACTATTTGAAGATACTGGATATGGGGGACTATCATCCATCGAAAGGCTGAGCGACTCCAGTAAAGTGAACTCTTTGACTCCGCGATCTTCAAGGTCATGATACACCGTTGTTATGATATGAACGTGGCGCCAACGGTGAGCTTGAGCATACAGCATATGCATAACACTCGAATCTTCTCGTAAGTTGAGAAATAAATCCAATGGGCTATTCACAGACCTCTCCAAAGAGAGCTCTGTGAGATGCCTAACTCCTTCAGACTCTGGATCCTCATGCGCCAGTATACATATCGACGACCACAGTTGATATAACGATAAGGCTACCGCCCTCCACCGAGAGCAGACATAGCTGAGCTCGAATTCGCTGGCAGAATATTCACCTGGGGCGCGGGAAACGACAAATAGGAAGATTTGACACAGGATTTCGTTGGGAAGAGCCTGGATACCAGCTTGTGGATCACTTGTCATGAAAGTACCCAGCCTTAGGAGGCTGAGCTAAGAGCTTACCAGAGCTTACCTCAGGCTTACCGATGCCTGCCGTAACCCTCAAGGTTTGATCAACATACCGCCGGCAGTCTATCTGTTTCCCGTACACTCGCACAACGCCCACAACTGCATATATGGCTGGATCGTAATTATGGAAGACAGGCCATCACCGGGAAGGGCGTTACTAACCTTATACCTCTGCTGTCAACTCCCTTATCCTCATCGACGATGCATCCTCTGTCTGACGCGGCCAAGGTTATCACTGACTCAGGGTCAGTAATTGTCGCGGTAGTGGCCAAGATTGATGCACTTGAGCAGTCGAACGATGCCGCCTTACGATCATGGGCCAAAGATTTTGCCGTTGCCGTTGTAAGTCTAGCTATCGCTCGTTATATGGCCACTGCTCATTATATGTGATTTTGTCAGGCGCGTTATCGAGGTGTCAATCGCATATTGTCCAAATGGCGCGATAAGCCATCATTTCTCGAGCCAGCCGAAGTCAAGGACGCCCTTGTTGCAGCCGACGATTTTTTGCTCAAGCATACTCATTGGACTTGGGATGAGGCCTGGCTCGATTCCCGATGGAAACGTGCAGCACTAGAGCGTAAGAAGATATGGGAGGCTGAGGAAGAGCGTCTTCGGAAACTCAGGGAAGAGGAAGAGATCAGCACGATTCTCGCAGAAGCTCAGGCATTCCTCAAGACCGAGGTCGTCGTCTTCGACTATCCGACTGAAGAAGAGTGGGAAGCTCTTCGTAATCAGCCCCCTCTACAGGAGGACCCTGCCCCCATCAGCTTCTTCAATCCTACCTTGGATATGCCCTCCGAATCACCAGATAGTTCATTCGGAAACTCGCCGTTGTCATTCTCTGACATGAGCATGAGTAGTCCTAGTTCTCCCCCTTCAACAGCTCCTACCCCATTACAGAGTCCAAAGATTCCTGTGGGAAACATTGACCGTATTTGGGATGATCCAGTGCTACCAGCCCCTCAGATCGGCCCTTCGTCAAATCGAGCTGATCCCGGCACTCAACTCAGTAGGGAACTTCACGGAGAACCCACTGCCAGGAAAATTGCCCCCGTCTCTAGCGGCTCTGGGACTACTGGAAAGCATGTGGGTCCTGCGAAATCCATGGATTCTGCAAGTGCTTCTGAAGGACATGTTTCCACGAGTTATGATTCCACCTCTGGTCAAGCTTCCATTAACGCCGATGTGGTCATCCGTCCTCGCACAACCCGCGCCACGCTGCCCACTACCAAAGGCGCCAAAACTAGACTTAATTCAACGGCGAACAATTCTCCGAATAGCAAGATCAATACCCAGCCCCCCAAAACCAATGTTATCGCGTCTACCTCCCCGAAGCGACCACAGTTTTCTCAGCTGACGGTGACCACATCCTCACAAGTGAGTGTTTTTTCGTTTGTGATCCATGATCCCCGATCTCCAAATGTTATTTTACCCTCATACATAGTTTGATGGTGTCCGAGTACCGTCTCCGATGTCACCTGCGTGGCGCAACAAAAGAGCCCGTGATGATGATGATGATGCTGATGAGGATGAAGACGAGTTCGTGAGACGTAATGGTGGAACTCTGATTGGAACCGGCCAAATCAACTGTAGGTCCTGATACTCTAGTTATCGTCGCTCCTTGCTTCCCACACCTACCGCAATGCATCTCATTGACATCTGATGATCTGCCATTCTTGTGTTCTACAGCGCCTTCATGTTCGTCCTGCTCCAAAGTCAACTCGAAATGTTTTCGTTTAAACAACAAGTCCTGCTGTGCTCGTTGCTACCAGGAGCACCAGAAGTGCCCATTGGACAAGCCAAAGACGAAGAAACAGAAGGCGGGAAATATAGTGGGGTGAGATGCCTAGGGGTTAGCTAGGCAGTTCCGAGGCGTTCATCGATCTACAAAGGTTCACGGTTTATTCTGAGGGATCTGATACCCATCGTACATAGCGGAACAGTAACGGGACCGCAACGTGACAAATTCTGTATAATTTCTACTTCCACTGGCTTTCCTTCGGTTGATATAATCTGTTTAATTTTCGAAGATGTGTATGCTGTTAGTGTCATTGCTGTACCAGTAACTTGTGCTTGAATTTATACCATGTACAGTAGCGTTTATCTCACTTTTCTTTCGGGTTCCACGAATGCCCACGATCGATTCCAGTTTTTGGACAACAACATGTCTCTCCATTCTGCCACAGTTCTAATTACAGAACATCAGTAAATACAGTTAAGTGTCAGATACACTTCATGTTGTTGGATGCTGTCGACAGCTTCGGGGTGACAACATCTTCAACGAAGCGCCCAACTAGTAATGAAATCTCCTAGTATCTTCCTCCAACTTTCCTTTTCCTTTCCTGGATCTTCAACGCCGCCACTAGCTCCCGAAACAACGCTACTGGGACCAAGTTCATGTCGATCTCGCGGGCGTGATCTTGAGAGCTCGCATTCCTCCATGTTAGTTGTGTAAGGCAAAAATGTGGACTGCTTTCTGATCTGAGCTCGGATGTCGATAATCGAGCCTGAGGATATCAGGCGTCCAATCTCCAAACCATGGTATATTTACCTCGTAGCGGTGATTACACTGTAACTCGAAACCATGCACCGATAGCCTCTTTGAAGCGACACATACACTGGGTATAATGAGAAATATTGCAGCAAGTTATTGCAGAGGTAGGGGAGTAGATTGGAACATACGAGCTGAGTGAAGATCCCGGAAAGGAACACAGGTGGCACTCACATCACCAGACAGAGACCTGGACAAAAATAAGCCATATCCACAGAATGGAGGCAAGCAATGAACAAGGGTTATTCCCAACTTGCTGCCGTGGCTCCAGTACTTAGTCTTACTTACTTGCGGTTCAGAAATAAAATTAAGAAAAGACAGCACCCGACGTGGAGCAACGTTTCGGAGCCAAGCGATCTCTTCAAATATAACCTCCTTCTGACACGGTAATTTGAACGTTCAACGTTCAACGTTTAAGCTTAAGCCTTTTACTATAATATTCCGTGCTTGTGAGCTGAGCAAAAATATATCAGCTGACAGAAGCCATAACGATCTTTCGACAGGAAATGGCAAAAGAGATGCCCCATACTGAACTCGACCACGGAATAATTCTTGTTCAATGTTTTTCTTCGAAAAATGAGATTGAAGTTGAAGGTTGGGACGATGAAGAAACTTTCCCACGACAAATTAAATTAACATTGACTGCGAACTTCAACGGCATGGAGGCCTCTATAGGCGAACCCTTCCTATTATCGAGCTATACGACAACGAATAAGGTCTCAAAATTATCCAAATTATCCGGAAGACTACCAAGCATTTTTGCTTCCCATCAAGGAACTGGCGGAAATTCAGATGGTCATATCACTGTCGCTGCTCAGGGCGACGGTGTTCATGTATTAGACGTTGGTGAAATTTCTCTTGAAAAAACAGATATACTCAAAGTTCTACAGCTCTCCACTTTGCATCCAATTATCTCACATACATTGGGCCCGACTATCACTTTTTCCTGTCCATCGGTTACGCGTAGCGAGCTACAAAGTGCAAATCATGTTTGCACGACTTACGCTGCTATATCATCATCTCCGGACATTTCTGAAGACGAAAAAAGCCGTACGATATGGATGTGGAAGGAGGGTTTATCGAGTTCTGTCGCGGATCGAGCAGCGCAAAGGAAAAAAGCAGTTGTAGTACGTCTATTTTCTCCCATTTTGCTTGTGGTTTCACCGATTCATTGGGCTATGTAAGGTAGCTTCCGCATTCAATTTCGGGTCTATACATCGAAAGCGAACTTCCTTCCCGCGTTCTCGTCACATCATCGCAAGGTGACCTGACGGTCCTCCACAGTGACCTGCAAATTCAAGCTACACGCACGTCAAAATGTGAATCCTTGAAAACTTTTGTGTTGTCTCGGAGAAACTGCACATTTCTTCCTTCTCGAGGATCTGTGCCGTCTTCTGCTGCCATTGTAATCTCCTTTGTTACATTGAACGCAAACGTTCGAATACAGATATTGGCTGTAGACCTAGAAGATCGGTTTCACGAGCTCGGAGACATTGAACTGCCCATAAAATCTCAGGTTGGTCGATCATTTCGAATTATACCACCTCGTCTCATACTTTTTAGTCGTTTTGCGACGTTTCATTTAGCGGAACAGGTTTCTTTAGCGTTCTTCGTGAGTCCTTTCGCGAGTAGCGTGGAGTGGAAGACTAATGGAAGACACCCCCCGGGCAGTAACAGATGGCACCTGGTCGTCATTCGAGTTGAAACGAAGTGATGACACGCTCTACTTCAATTCGCTGGAAAACGTCAAATTGACTTCGTTATCGTTCATCTCATCGTCCAACAGCGCTGAAGCTTCGATACTTGCGTTAGGGTCTTCACATGTTCTGCTTGCAGGCTTAACAGGCTCCACTTCGAATCGGGAAGTCGTGCTCCTGTTTTGGGATTTATCTTTCTCTGTGCTCCTCGCCTCACGCACATTACCACTTCCCCCGTACGTCACAAACGAAAAAGTATCAATTACCCTCGTTGGCGCTCTATCGTCCTCCAACGTCCTGTTATTGGTCTCTCCTACCTCAGTCATTTCAGGTCGCCGTCAATCACAAGGCCAGTCTTCTTCCAGTAGCTCGGTCTGGGTAGTACCGGTGACGGTGCCTCCAAGTTCGAGTATAGCCAACGCTATCGGTCGTGCAGCAGCAGCAATGCCATGGTTAGCCGTTACTGACGCTCAGGGTGATTCACATGATGCAGGGAGATCAAAGTTGGTGAACGAGATACGCTCTGCTATGGACCGAAATCAACCTGAGAATGCCAAAAACGCATTTTTCGAATGGGAGAAGCACACAGTCTCAGAGAATTCTCAGGACAAACCCGTATGTTTGACCTACTTCCTTTCATCTATCACACGTTGATTGCCTTATCGTTTCATGTAGCCTGGCACGCCTACATTGTACGGGTACAATTTCACCAAGGAAATTTTGAACATCGTACTCCAGCCTTCAATACCGACAAAAACACTGTATCCGTCAAAAATTGTTCAACATCTTCTCGAGAAAAAGGTTGTCAGTGCGGGCATGATGGAGGCTGACCTTTTAGGGGTGTTGCGATCGCATAATGATTGGGTTAGTCGTTGCGCGATTTCCTATTTTCTGCCATTGTTGATGCTTGTACATAGAAATCAATATCCTTGGCGTTGACACGAGTATCGGATCTTCAAGAGGCTGAAATTGTCGAGTGTCTGTGTTTTGTCCTTGCACGCTATCGACAGGCTCGAAGAGCCACTTCTAGTGATGCAATGCAAATTGATTCGGTACCAGGCATGGACAACGAATGCCCAACGTTGCAGGCCTTCTTGAGTCTCGTTCTTCGTTATAGTTGCTCACCAAATCCCCTTCGAGCGGCGTTCCGTCGCTACCTATCTGACGTCGACGATGTGATTTGTTTACTGGAAGTGCTCGATTCCTGGATAGGTCAATGGGCTGGGCGTGACACGCGCTTGCTGCCTTCAAATAAAATGGTGAAGAAGAATGAGCTCGGAGTATATATCATGACATCGGAGAGTAAAGATTCTTCAACGGATATTCCATCAATGTTACAGGTATTTTCTTCTTTCTGACCTCCTTTGGTTTTTGGCGTATGCTGATCTCCCCTATCTCACAGATAACATTCTTCCTCCAATGCCTCATCGATACCTCTTTCATCAATCTCATCCAAACACCGTCCGCTCACCGTATACTCAGAAGGATTCAGGCTCATATTGATCCCGAGATCACATATATCGACCAGACGGAACAACTGCGTGGGCCTTTGGAGCTTTTTGTGAAAGCACAAACCAAGGCGATAAAGGAAGCTAAAGCTGCTAGCGAGGGAATCAAGGTGCCTATTCCGGATCGGAAACAACAGAAAAAACTACTACACGAGCAGGCGGGGGCTACTATAGGTCTTTATCGACTGGAAGAACTGACCCTCTAATGAGGGGAAATGTTATATACGTTGCTGAAAAAAATTACATATTTGCCCCTCCACTCAATCCACCTGGTTTCACCACTTTCGCAAGCACCTCCAGTTGTTGATTGAGCTCTCCAGTCAACGCGGTGAAATCGTTAATGGTTTGCTCGTATGCTGCAATCGTTTTTGGATCTAAATCGTCATACTCGGTATCGTTGTCATCAGTATCGAGAGCGCCCTGTGCTTGTGATATCAGTGCCATGATTTTATCTTTCTGCAGCGATATCTTTGGTAATAGCAATCGGACTGGGAATAAACAGAGTGAGCAAAGAATCACATTTTCAACTTGAAATACAACTTACGATGCAATGTAACCGCTGCATCGAGCTCTGAATTCGACAAAAAGGTCTCGATAGTCTCTAAAGCCTGATGGCAGATGGTATTGTAGCTCGTCTCTGCTGATTGAATTTCCGACAAGGTATTATTGACTTCTTCCCTGAACAAAGTTGTCTTTGGGATTGTACTGTATAGATATAACGAACCTTGTTTCTGGGACAGACAAAACTGGAGGATCTATCATTGAGATGCTCATAGCGTCCAGTCAAGGTGTTGAATGACGACAGGCTGTAGGAGCACCACATTTAGGTTGATGACGTCTCGCGTCGATGGAGCGGAGAACTTATCTCTTCCGAGTGATATACATTTTCTCCGTCGGTGCAATTCAGGCCTTTTCAGAACAGCTGCTTTGATCGATTGATGTCCCTATTCACCAAACACCGCGAACAAGGCAACACAACCATTTTTTTACATAGTCCTTCTTCCTTCCCTCGTACACAGAGTTGTAGAGCTGGTCTCTATCCACACTCAGCAAATTCCATCTTTTCTACCAACCCATATTTCCTTCAACCTCGGATCTCGGGCTGGCAGAAACGTTCAAAGTCCAAACTGTTCTATATGAAATCCTTTTCGATGCTGAGCATACTGATTGCTCTGCCCCTTTTGCTGACAAGTCTTGCGAGGCTTTCCAACGCGTTCCCGATTGTCGAAAGCTCGCTAGACCCTCGATCCGGTCTCCTTGAAAAGGCAAAAGGCTGTCTCAGTTCGTTCTGCGACCGTCCTAGGACAGACATTTGTTTGTTTTATCTCAACGACGTGAGTTGTTGCATGTTTGATCTTTCGAACTATTCTTATCATAAATCAGGAGATTGCTATGAAATATTACAAGACGAAGCATTCGTTCAATGTTGAACGGGATGGCCTTAGTTTAAGACTCGCCCCCTTCAAGCTTCCTGAACTTAATTGTACTTTTGGGTTGGAATCAGAACTCAGGCAAATAGCTCAGAAAGGGTTAGTTGTTCTTACTACATTTCATAACTTGGTAAACCTAAAGCTACGCATGTTCACACAGAGATTGGGAGGTAAAGTCCCGACTCTTTTATATCAAACCGATTACCATAACCTCTTCGACAGTGCATCATCGACTCCAACGAAGACAAGTTCGAAGAGCTGAATAAGGTGAGTGATGGTTGAACCTTTTCCATCGTTATCTGAAATCAATACGTAGGTCTACACTTACCGGCCATCGGAGGCAGGTCCAAGCGCAATGACCTTTGCGATGGCAGCTTGGATACAAGTATTCATTCCGCATGCACTCTTCTCAAGAAGAGATCTCGACCTCAAAGTACGCTGTCAGTCTCTCGGTCAAGGTAAGTGCTCGATGCTTGCTTTGTTCTACATTCTAAATTAGTTCCCGTCTATTTCCAACAATTTGTAGACATGGTCTTTCGGATACCTCGATGGAGAAGCTGGAAAATCAAGAATTGGCCCCGGGACAGTAGTGGGGAACTGCTCCCTTTGAATCACATTGGGCCTTGGCATCCAACCCCTCAAATCTGATGATGAAGTTGGTCCCGGCGTCTTGAGTGAACTAACTAAAGCCACCCAGCCAGGCAGTAAGTTAGAGATGCTGTTGCTCTGTTGCTCTTCGCCTTTCGTTTCGAAGCTACGTAGCCACGAATATATGAATATGCAAATTAGATACGAGAGTTTCAATCCGCCTTCGATCTTCTCTGTGTTGGGGTGTACTCCGTACGTCAGATATACAGCTTTGACCTTTGTTCCTAATTCGACTACGCTGATCTTCGTATACGCTGATCACGATTACTATATACTGTACAGCTGTAGATAGGTCACGCAGACGGATGTACACGAGCTCCCTCAGTTGTTTTCATATCAACTGAGGTGAGCTCACTAGCGATGAGGATACCTATACTTACTGACGGTACCCGTTAGCTTAATCCTACGTTAACAGGTACCGAGATAATATACAGTTGTTTTCATATCAACTGAGCTTAATCCTACGTTAACAGATTATGAGACTCGCACTCTGATTAAATACGAAAACGTCTATCAGCAGTAAAAGAACTCAATTCGAAAGTATCATCATAAAACAAGATGTCGTTCGGAAACAGCCCAAACATACCCAGACTCCCGGACGAAAAGCAACTCGTCGGTGAAGATAATTGGCGACCATACAAGCGCGAAATCATGTTTGCAGTACAGTCAAAAGGCCTGACAGGATATCTAGATGGAACGATACCTAGACCTAGCAGTTACCCCGGACAAATATACCCAGCAGCACAGCAGACCACACCTCTGTTCAGCCCTACACCATTCCCAGAGGAATGGGACTCTCGAGACCGGCTAGTTGCGGGAGCCATTGTCTCAAACATCACTGACCCAGTCGGACTGGGAGTGGATGAGACGAAACGCGCATCCGAGATCTGGCAGGCGCTAATCAAACGTTTCGAGAAAAGGGATGAACAACGGATCCACCTCGCGGACACAAACCTCCGACAAGAGAAATACGACCCAGAGTCAACAATGGAGGAGCACGAAAAGAGGATGCGGAACTTACTTAAAAAGGTGCACGACCTGGGAGGAACAGCGACCGACGCACAATTCCGGCGCATCATCATATCGTCAATGCCACCGGGATGGAGGCAAGACGTCCGTAGCGTACCAGGGACGACGAGCGCGGACACTTTTACGTATCTACACACGCTGTGGTACGAGAAGGAGGAGGAGAGGAAAGAAGAGGAGCGGGACACCAAACGAGTCAAGGCGCTGATGGCAGCCCACTCGAACCCAACAACACCCAACTCGACCCAGGGAAACCAGCCCCGGAGCACCAGCAGGTCAGTAATAACTTGTCACAACTGTGGCAAGCCCGGACACATCGCGAAGAAGTGCTGGGGTAAGGGCGGGGGAATGGAAGGCCAATGGCCGAAACAGGGCCAGGTAAACAAAACAAAAGCGGGGACAAGTGCAAACGCCGCAACACCAGACGACCCACCAGAAGTAGTATCACCTATGGCAACGTACGTCATGTCCGCACAAGCGAGTAGGAAGCCGAGTACGTCTACGTCAACACACAAGTACCATTCAACCGCTGACCCAGCGACTAGACAAAACGATCCCGTTCTAGGGAATACAGGTCAGCGGGAGAGTAGGGAAAGGGACGTAGAGTACGACTTAGCTAGTTACCCAACCGTACAGAAGGAGGGATGTACAGCTTGCCAGGGAAGCACATCTCTGTACTCACCACCTACGCTCGTAATACGAACATTTATTGATTCCGGAGCATCTGAGCATTGTTGGGTACAACGCTCGGACTTTGTAGAGTACACCGAAGTGCAAGGGCAAGGCGGAAGCAGTGCAATCTCGGGGGACGCAGGGCAGTTTCAGATATTGGGTGTCGGAACGGTCCAGTTTGTGACTCGGAGGCAAAATGAGGAAAGGACAATCCGGCTGACAGGAGTAAAGCACACACCATTGTTCGGGCATAACTTAATCTCCTTGTCAACGCTAGATGGGCGGGGCATGAGAGGCGAATGGGGGCTGGGTATACTGACGGTCAAAACTCCGGAGGGGGATACCATTCTGGAAGGGTTTGGTAGAAACAAGATGTACGAAGTTGAGGTGCTAGAGTCCGGGAACCTCACCGTCAGCTACTCCCGAGCTAGAGACAGGCCTGCCAACATCCTCACCTGGCACAGAAGGCTGGGACACGTCGCGATACGCTGGATACTACAGATGTCCAACCGTAACCTTGTGGATGGACTGCACATCACGAATCGGGAAGTGCACGGGATGTGTGAGGATTGTTTATATGGGAAGGCAACGAAGCGCCCCTTCGATGAGATACTTACCCATGAATCGGAGGTACTCGAACGGGTACACATCGATCTCTTCGGCCCATCAAGAACACAAAGCCGTGGGGGAGCAACCTACCTCATGCTCTGCACAGACGGCAAATCATCATTCAGAGTCCCTCACTACCTGACAAACAAAAGGAAGGAAACGGGTGTCAAGGCGTTACACGAATTCCGTGTCAAGGCAGAAAAACAGACAGGGAAGGTACTGAGGACCATCCGGATAGACGGCAGCGGCAAGCTCAACAACGGGCTGGTGGATGAATACTGCGCCGAACATGGGATCACCATAGAAAAGGTGCCACACGACTCCTCTGCAGCGAACGGGGTGGCTGAGCGGTCATTTCGAACCGTAATGGAAGGCACCCGCACTCTACTAGAGGAAGCAGACCTCCCATACTCCTTCTGGGGCGAAGCCTCATCCACGTTTATCTACGTAGACAACTTCGTACCCTCCTCGTGATACCCAGACGTCGTACCCATTGAAGCATGGACCCAGAGAAGACAAGATGTGTCCCACTTACGACCATTCGGATGTGATTGCTGGGCAACGCTTCCAAGGAGACGGACAGATGGTAAACTCGGCAGACAAGCAGTTAAGGGCAAGCTACTAGGCTACATGGGCAGAAGGGGATACAGGGTATGGATTCCAGAAACAAAGAAGGTGGAGGAATCACACGATGTAACCTTCGAGGAGGGAATACCGCACCGGACTCAAAAACCAAAGGGTATAGAGGAAACGCAAGAGGACGAGATTTTTGAGGATCCCACGACAGAGACACCGGGTAACGAGGCAAACCCTGACCAAAATACCGACATCACCGGTGACAGGAATCAGACAGTGGACACACACAACATTCCCGTTACCCAAATGGATTTACCGCCACCGGATGCTCTGGAGCCACCAGCACCACTGCAGCCAGTTGAACCTGCTCGACGTAGTGGCAGAGGACACATCCCCTCCCATAGATACCTGGAGAGTAGTGAGTACCACGAACGCGAGGCCACGGCTCAACAGGCTGGAGAGGAATGGTCCATGGCCAGACACGTCGACACGCCTATGGCCTTGATAATTCAAAACCCATACACCTTTGCCGCAACAACCGGAGATCTCTGGGTTCCACAGTCCTACAAACAAGCGATGAAGCGGCCCGAGCTGTGGAAGGAACCAATGGAACATGAGTTCAAGACACTGACAGACAAAAACTGCTGGGATCTGGTAGAACTGCCCCCTGAAGCCAACCTGACCGGCGGGAGATGGACTTACGCAATTAAATTCGATGCACTGGGAAACCTATTGAAGCGTAAGGCACGATACGTGGCACAAGGCTATACCCAAGTCCAGGGACAAGATTACGATAAGACGTATGGAGGAGTGGCACGCATGGAATCTGTACGGCTCGTCTTGGCGATTACAGCGGCGCTCCGGCTCTCAATCTTCCAGGTGGACTTTACAGCTGCCTTCCTCAACAGTCCAATAACGCACAATGTCTACATGAAGCAGCCCGAGGGTTTTGTTCAACCTGGGTCTGACCACTTGGTATGCAAGCTGAAAAAGTCTATCTACGGGACCATGCAGGGGAGTCATGACTGGCAGGAGACGTTGGCAGCCGGATACAACGAAGATGGCTACAGTGCGTCGCGGGCTGATCCGTGTATCAGGTACAGAAGACAGGGCGACGAGTATACCATCACGAGTACCTACGGGGACGATGTCTGCGGCGGTTCATCCACGACGGAAGGGAGAGAACGAGCTATCAGGGACCTGGGGAAGAGATGGGAGGCGAACGAGGTGAAAACCGAGGTGCTACTGGGGATGACGATTCGACAACACCCTATCACCAAGGCCATTACCATCTCACAGAAAGCATACTTCCAACGAATGCTCACCCACTTCGGACTCGAACACGTACGACGCCGCACGACACCCCTACCACTGAACGTCAAACTTCATGAATCGCCTACACCCCTCCCGGACGCAGACCGAACATTCATGGCTGGCAAGCCCTACCGTCCAATTGTCGGTTCGATACTGTGGGGACAAGTCTGTACCCAACCAGACCTGGCATTTGCAGGTAGCCTTCTGGCACGGTACCAACTAAACCCGGGACGGGAGCACTGGCAATGCGTGGAGTGGGTGGCGGGATACATCCTCAACACACTAGACTACTCCATCACGTACCGCACACCAACACAGCCAGACAAACCCGAACCAGGAGACGGGCTCCAGCCATATGCGTACGTTGACTCGGACCACGCAGGATGCCAGGATACCTACCGGTCAACGTCAGGCTACGTTTTCTTTATGGCGGGGGCTCCCATGTCGTGGAGCTCTAAACAACAGGCTACGGTAGCACTTTCTACCACTGAATCGGAGTATATTGGACTCTCCCGGGCAACTCAGTAAGCCGTATGGCTATCATCGTTCTTATCCGAGGTGGACCTCCCACAAACAGGCCCCATCAACCTGCTGGGGGATAACTTTGGGTCCGTGAGTCTGTCCGAGAACTCGAAGCGGCACGCGCTGGTGAAACACATCGAAATGCGACACCACTATGTACGGGAAAAGGTAGCAAGCAAGGAAGTCAGGATACAGCGTATCAGGTCTGGAGAGAACGTAGCTGACATCTTCACAAAGGCTCTCAATGGCACGGCCCACTCTAAACTAGTTTCACAACTGGGCCTGGATCGTACGGAGTAGGGGGGGTGTTGGGGTGTACTCCGTACGTCAGATATACAGCTTTGACCTTTGTTCCTAATTCGACTACGCTGATCTTCGTATACGCTGATCACGATTACTATATACTGTACAGCTGTAGATAGGTCACGCAGACGGATGTACACGAGCTCCCTCAGTTGTTTTCATATCAACTGAGGTGAGCTCACTAGCGATGAGGATACCTATACTTACTGACGGTACCCGTTAGCTTAATCCTACGTTAACAGGTACCGAGATAATATACAGTTGTTTTCATATCAACTGAGCTTAATCCTACGTTAACACTCTGAAATCGGCCCTCGGGTTCTAGGGGTACTGATCTTATCTTATCTCGGGCATTTCTCTTTCTCTCTTCACTGCAGATCTAGCAATGCTCAGCTGTATCTTTAGACCATATACTATGTATGTAATCGGAGACGAACAGGAAGCTTCTGGTTGGAAGGCTGGCAATGGCAGAATGCCGTTACAGTAATGAGGACGGCGTTAAGACCTCACTGTTGCTCCACAATCAGAAGGGTCCGTCGCCATTCGCTTGGCGAACCATCACCAAAATCCTCTTTCCTTTCCACCACGAGTCTCTCATTTCTCCTGCCATTCCTTTGCTGCGATGTTCAACAAACCCTCCTTTATATCCTCCCTGCTTCTCACTCTTGCGCTGACAAACTCTTTTCCCGGACCAGCCTTCGCGACTCCTGCGCCTCTCATGCCTCCTACGGTACTCGAATCAAGGTCCTCTGGGGCTGGAATATCCATTCCTATCCGCAAACGCAGTGGTTTGGCAAATCCTTCCGGTGTTTTCGATGTTGACAAGGCCAGAGTGGATGTCATAATGACCGTAAACAAACATAGGCGGAATATGATGAATTATTTGAGCACTCAGGGCTCCTTGCCAGCTGTAAGTCAACAAAATTGTCTGACACGGACGTGAGCCGAGCAAACTAAATTGTGATCTCATTTCCCAGGGCTTCGAGCTTGAGCCTCTTCTTACTCTCCCGGTAAATCTCGTCGAGACTCTTACTGGCACGAATATCATCAAGAGACAAGCAGTCCCCTTGACAGACGAAAACAATGGAGAACTGTGGGACGGACAAATTTCCATCGGTTCAAACGATCAGAAATTCATCATAGATTTCGACAGTACGTCTCTCCATGTTTTAACCCTTTCAACTCATTGAGGCTATCCAGCCGGCTCATCCGACCTCTGGGTTCCCTCAATCAATTGTACTGCATCTACGTGTTCTTCAAAGCACAAATATGACCCTTCAGCTTCTTCGTCTTCGGAAGCTCAAGATGGTTCGTTTAATATCCAATATGGTGATGGATCTACAGTTTCCGGTTCGATTTATACGGATGATGGTCAGTGTAGTCGTATCCTCTTCTACAGTATTTTCATCATCGCTGACAATCATTCAGTGACGATTGCTGGAATATCTGTAACTGGACAACATTTCGCCGCAGTGACTAATCTGTCCAACTCCGTTGCTCAGACATCTTTTGACGGGTGAGCGAGAATATACTCTTATGCTCTGTCTTTGATGATTGATGTCTATGAAGCATTCTGGGAATGGGTTATTCTACTCTCTCGAACCTCGGTGCACCAACCTTCTTCGAGACAGCTGTCAAACAAGGGGTGGTTGCCTCCCCCGAATTCAGCTTCTTCTTATCCGCCAACGGCTCTGAGCTCTACCTTGGAGGAACAAACTCTCAACTCTACACTGGTGACATCGAGTTCCACGACGTCAACACCTCTCCTGGGTACTGGAAGATCTCTGGTGGAAGCGTCGGTGTCCCGTCGAATGCCGGTGTTGTGTCCGGTATTGATACTGTCGTCGACTCCGGTACGACTCTCATCTATGGACCTCCCAATGATGTAAAGAACTTGTGGGCTGCTGTCCCTGGCGCGGCGGCGTACGATGCGGAACCAGGATTCTATACATACCCTTGCAATCAGACTTTGGGTGTATCGTTTAGCTGGGGTGGAAAGAACTGGAATATCCCCGATGAACAGTAAGTAGTACCTTTTCGTTGTGTGCTCACCTGAATTTACCGATTTTCGAAGTATGAGCACTGGCTTTGCAGATGGCAGTGGCCAAAAGTGTGTTGGGGCTATCATCGGACAGAACATTTTTGGCTCCAGTTCGCCTACGTGGCTTGTCGGGGACACGTAAGTGACCTTGTCTTTTTAAATGTTGCCACAACGAATATCTGATCTTTGTACCTGCGTTAGCTTTATGAAGGGCGTTTACTCCGTCTTCAATCTCGGAAACAACCAACTTGGGTTTGCGCAGCTTGCTTAATCCCGCCGTTCTTCATCATGATTTATTTCAGTTACCCTCATCTATCCATACCCAAATCACCTTCATCACGATGTCCACCCATTACCATGATATTTATTCTGAGATTGCTCATAGTCTTCATCTTCCCCATCCTCCGAGTTTTGCTGCATCTTTCCGAACATATTATTGACAGAATAGCTACTGTAGACCCTCCCGTCGTCTTCTTCTATCTTCTGTATCCATCGAACCCCGTAGCATCTTTCCAAACATTTTCTTGATGTCAACCCTCCTGAGTGTTTGCTGGCAACATTACGTTTGAGACGTACTCTATTTACTCGAACATGATGTTTATTCGCTCTAGCTTAGCTGCATTGTAGCAGTGTTGTGAGATATAGAAAGTATTCGTCCGAGATTTGCGTTGATCACCCAATCATCTATATAGTACATGCTTTACATCGTGTAGTACAGCCGATTCACAGCTTGCCAGTGGGGGCAAGCTCCAAACGTCCTCAACTTGAACTTGTGCGTGGTGTCTAATTTGCTGACAAATATTGGTTGATTGAGTGAGCGCCTAAAAACCGTTGATTGAAATATTCAAATCACTGTCCCTCAAACCAAGACATGGCAAGAGTCGCAATCAAAAGGAGATACACTGAATACGCCGACACAGATAGCTCCCAATCTGAAACTGAACTTAGCGATGATGATTTCCTACCTACTAGAAAGAGTAAGAAGGTGAAGCCTTCGCCAAAGCCACCGAATGAGGCGAAGGTGAAGATCTCAGCGGGGGCAGATATGGATTCTATTCACAGCTGTGAGTACGCTGCTTCCTGCATTGGATTACCATTGCTGGAAGGTGGGTAAATGTAAATCATGTTTTAGTGCCAGAGAATATCGACCAAACAACGTTGGAACGTATCAAGAAAGCTTTGAACCTGTCCAAGCATCCTGGCACAACCGAGAACGAAGCTCGGCAAGCAATGAGGTACGTATCCGTATCCGCTCTCTTATACTTATATTAGAGAAGATCTCACTGACAACATTTGTATGGGAATAGGCTGGCCATGAAGTTGATGGCAAAATTGAAGTGAATAACCCGTCATGATTGTTAGTACCAGCTTTGCTGAAGTTGTTTTCAGCATTACCCAGGCGCAAGTGTTGGAAAGTATGGAAGAGAACGACGACATTTCGAAGCAGTGTGTAATTGCTTTTTAAGGACCATGTCATGCAACTAACAAATTACTATGTATTCAGAGCGGGCCAATCGTGAGTAATGAACCATTCTTTTTGCAACTGGAACCTTTCGAGCCCGTTTTGGAAGTGTGGTTTCTATCTGTTGTCAGGAAGGTAAATCGATGTATATTTCGACATGGTCTCAGACAGCTTCATTTGCTGTCTGCAACATGTTTGATGTCAAATACTACACCCAAGTGTAAGTCGCGGTTTGTATTCAGGGAACACCATTTATTCAGACGATTGTTCCACAGCGGAGATGAATCAAATCAAATCGATTTCATTTTCTATGGTATGTTGTCTGTACCGTCTTAGTGTCTTGTAGTAACCTTTGAATCTGGCAGGGCTAGGGCCGAACACCGTAACTGCTGCCTATGGTTTCGAGACGGTCTGCCTTGAATACTTACACTAACACCTGTTTTCCTGCTAATCACTATCAACAGGTCTATAATCTCATTATGAATTGGCGCATGGCCAACAAAGAGGCCAAGGGTATCAATGGAAAGAAGTACGCCGGTTTTCTGGATCTTGCTTGTAACATCCTCATCAGTATACAGTTCTTATTGTCGCGGCGTAGCGGATGGCTTCTATGATTTCTCAAAGAAGGAGAAAAGACGCGAAGAAAAGGAAGCAGAAGCGGCAGAAATGCGAAGGCTTGAAGCGCAGCGTAAAGCAGAAGAAGCGCAACGGCAGAAGGAGATTGCACGATTGCAGTTGGAGACCATCGAAACCAAGCCAGAACTCGATAGGAAGGTGAAGATCGAGGATGTAAAAGAAGAATCAGCTGATGTTGTGGATCTACCAAGCCCTTCCTTCGTCCACGAAAGTGATTCGGACGACGATTTCGGAGATGACGGATATGATGACGGGGACTATGGCTACGATGGTAATGATGGAGGATCTGATTTTCAAGCAGGCCTGAATATGGAGGAGGCTCTGGAAGAAGATGCTGTCGCTCCCCACTTTTCATCGAAGGAAGGAGTACACGATATAGATCTCGACCAGCTTCTAAAAACATCAGACGAGCGTGCGCGCAAGCAGGCCGAGAATCCGGAAGCCCTGAACAAGGATAAGAAGAAGAAGCGAGATATACGCCGGGTGAAGGGGGACGCAATGGAGGACGTCAAACCAACCACGGGAGAGGCAAACGAAGTACCCAAGAATAAAGTCAAGGAAACAGAGGAGCCTTCCTGGCAATCGGCCGGTGCTCTTATTGTTTTCCGTCAAAAGTCACTCCTAGTTGCAGAAGAATACCTGAAGAAGCAGGGCTTGAAGCTGCACAAGAGGGGCAAGTTAGCAGCACTCACCCTCAAAGATGCCAATGCGAGGCAGTCATACAACAAAGGCTGGGAGGATGCAAAGAAGATTAATCTGAAGACGAAGAAGATCAAGGCTTCGAAGTTCGGAGGATGACTGAATAGCACCGGTGCTAAACAGAACTGGCTAAATGTTCAGGATAATCCCGGCCTAGACTCGAACCAGTCTGCTGCTGAGAAGCGATATGCGGAATCACTTTCTCGGCAGAGATGACACCTTTGAGCGCCAGTTTCCAAAGTGTCAACATCCGAAGCTACTGGCTCGAGTCTAATCCCAGCCGTAACTTTGTCATTCTTGCTTCTTTGCTTCTCTTTTCTGCAGTTTTTTCCATGTCCAAGATCTCCTCAGAACTCACATATACGTCCAATTCAACTTCGTGCTTATAATTCTTAACCACTTACCATCCCAGTGTCTACTTGTTTTACATTGTTGTCAAAACAGAAAAATGCCTACTTCATAACATCTGTATTATTCGGTACAAGCTGCAGATTGTAGATCTAGATTGTGGGACATATCATACCCTCCTCCAGCACCAAGGCAAACCCGAACGACTGGATATGTTTACATGAATTCACCTCCTCCAAAATCTGCAACTTCTACCGAGCCATTGCCGACGAATTCTTCCGAGTAATACTAAAGATGTTCGACCTGATCTTCTCCAACTCATAAGAATGACCAAGAGGCTGCATATTGGAGTAGTTTTATAATATTAGGAATATCGTGGCGCACGCTCGATGCGTTCGGAGGATAAAGAGGATTTCATTCTCATGACGGGGGAGATTTGCGGAGCTTGAGCGGAAGATGAAGCAAGTTTAACTTGACCTGATGTTTGCGGTGACAAATATTTAGATTCACTCACTCGGACTTGAGGAAAACACAGGGAGAACACAAGGAAAACAGGATGAAATAATTTTACCTGGTATTACCTTTTACGGCAAGTGGGTCACACGTTCTTGACAGCGTCGTCCCGTATTACTCCAGTCCCTGACAATTTACGACTTCCATGTCGGTCTAGTTGCTCATGCTCACCATTCCCTCTGAACTTGGTCGTTTTGTGCTGGAAACCGTCACTTCGAACACCTTTCAGCAAATATTTCCTCTCCTCGTCATCTTTTTGGTCCCGTTCTCGGTCCTATATATCGCTCGGTCATCGCCAAGGCCGTCGACGAGACTGAGCCCTCTTTTCTATTCGATTCTGATGGTCCTTGAGAGCCTTGGTATTGCTTTGCCGTGGAACTGGGGAAGTTCTGTATCCAATAATCATACGCCGAAGAAAAAGAGCAAGAAAAGGGCGATAAAGTCGGAGAAATTCGAGCTTGAACCAGGTGAGTCGAGCAAGCTATACCCCAAGGAATGCTCATGATAATAACCGTTGAGTAGGTCAGGATGCATGCGCTGTATGCTATCCAGGACTTGTCAATATTTCGGGTACATATTGCTTCATGAATTCGACAGTACAGGTATCATAGTATCCATGTGTTGAATGTTCAATGCTGAATTCAGTTCAGGCTTTATCATCTCTGGCATACCTTCAACCACACATCTCAGCCATTCATGCTAAAGCAGAGGCTTTAGATGTTCCTACACCCATTATTGACGCCCTGCGAGACTTATTTCATGCTCTTAACGATCCTCGCTCAAGACCTTCATCTATTCGCCCTTTAGAGCTCATCTCTGTCCTCTCTTCAGCCGGCCGTGCTAACTCATTATTCAACTCTCGAGAACACCAAGACGCTCAGGAGTTGTTCCAGCTTCTGTCCGAATGCATCAAATCTGAAATTTCTGCCATCGACAAAGAAAGCGCCCGAGATCGAGGTCTCGGTGGCCTATCGCAAGAGGTAGAAACCAAGATTGGCAAGAGTGTGTTCGATGGCCTGACGGCGAATCGAAGGAGTTGTGTTGTCTGCGGGTATACAGAAGCCGTGATGCATTTTCCGTTTGATAATTGGCAATTAACGGTGCCCCGAATGGCGGTGAGCCTTCCGAATTAGATTCGTTTATGTATTAGTGCTTATAAGCTGTTCCAGTCCACATGTTTGTTGGAGGATTGTCTTTCCGAATACACCCGACTGGAGATTCTGAAGGACTGTATTTGCCGGAAATGTTCCATGACGGCTACTCATCGGAGGCTCATGCAGGAGGCAAAAGCTCTCTCGCAGGTTGAAAATCCGTCTGCATCCAAGAAACGTAGGTTGAAGGACGTCAAGAAAATGGCTGCCAAAGTGAAATCCGCACTCGATGAAGGCCGGATCGAGGATGAAATCAAGGATGTACGGATGGAGAAGGTTATTAGCCTCTCTACGAAACAGGCAATGATAGCAAGAGTACGTTAATCGATCCTTGATAAACAAATTATCAATTCAAGACATTCTATTTAGCCACCACCTGTCCTTGTACTGCACCTCAACCGTTCAATGCACTTCACGCATTACGCCACCAAGAATAACATCCGCGTTATCTTCCCTGAAGTTCTAGATCTCACGCAATATACGACCTCAGGCAATCTCTCCACCATACCAACCTCCTCACTGTCTACCCCACCCCCACACCCAAAACGCTCAACAACTCCCACCCCTGAACCCCGCGATTCATCATCCCGCACGATTTACCGATTGTCGGCTGTCGTATGTCACTTTGGCCAGCACTCATTTGGCCATTATATTTGTTATCGCCGGAAACCCAAAAGTAGTTCAGGCAAGCCGGAAGAAAAGTGGCGTCCACCGAGGCTAGTCATCGAGTTGCTGGATGAAGTTAGTGCTCCAAGTTCTATCAAACGAGAGCCTGATGTCGATGACACTCCGACTGAGGGAGAAGACGCTGAAGGATTCGAAGAGTATATATGGGACGACGCAGATCCATCTACTGCGGCCGGAACAGGTCGAGGGTGGCTTCGAGTTTCGGACGATTCTGTCACGGAGGTCGGAATCGAAAGTGTGTTACAGGAAGGATCGGGAGCGTTCATGCTCTACTACGAGCGTGCAGTGATCTCAGGCATCGTCCATGCTGGTTTGGCGCACGGCGGTGCCTCTCCGTATCCACTAAGCATGAGCATGGTCAATGGCCATGCAATAATTGGCAACCCAAACCCGGTAATGAATGGTTACCCTGTTGGTGTTGGTGTCGGCACGCCTCTCAATTCTGAAGAGACGCTGAAGCCGCAACGGACGATGACGATGATGATGAATGGTAATGGAAGTCTTGGATCGCTGTTTAGCATGGATGAGAAAGGCCGAGACCGCGATATGATGTCCTTGTCATCCATGTCAACAAGTGGATCACCGCCTGTGGTTGGCCCCAGGGTGGTAAGAAGCGTCGATGCGGGGAGGAGAAGGAGCCATAGTGCTGCCCCAGGTACATCGGAGAAAAATTCATTGTCATCGTCCTTGTCCCCGGTACCTTATGCTTCATCGTCGTCATCGATGTTGCCTCCTGCGAGTTCGCCGTCTTTAATAATGTCGCCTTCTCGACCTATTGCGGTGCCTCATGTTAGTGCAAGGCCCAAAGTAGAAGATATTGATCGATTTGATGAAGTAGAGAGGGATTATGACGATGATACGTCTTCTTCGTTGTCGACCAACAGCAACCGGCCGAGCATCAATGGCTTCAACACTCATAACGTCCATTATAATAACAACTCCCTCAACTCATCTTTATCCTCACTATCTTCTGCTCCGGCTCTCATGTCGAAGACGCGAAATCACCAAATGTCCATGTCTAATACGTCTCTTGCATCAATGACATCGATAACGAGTACGACGAGCTCTGGATCGTCTGCGGTTTCGGTACCGAGCTCGTCTGTATCATCGACGTCAACGGGCTCTGCTGGGTCAACGGGTTCTACAAGAAGAGGAAGAGGAAGATCCGCACATAAACCAGGAGGACCAAAAGGACGTTCGCCGCAGTCGAGACATCCGCCGTTGCAGTCTTCACCTATGGTTGGGTTGAAAGCATAGAACGACCGAGCTGTAATAGCTTTGCATAGATGCTGGTACAGTATTTTATGGCGCTCGTGGAAGAGTAGAGTCTATACAATTCTCATCCGGATTTCGTCCATCATTCCCTCCCTCTTCTATTCCTATTCTACTCTACTACTATCGTTATTGCCTTTGACATTATTCCTCCCCCCGTAGCCATATATATGATCGTCTCTCGACGAGGTTCTCCTTATTCAACCCCCACTCACGTAGCATTTTGGGTGAAAACTGCATTTGTATCATTAGAATTTAGCATTTTCTCGTTTACGCTTTCGAAGTTTGAATTTCTCCTCTGAGTATGATGTCATTCATAATTCTCCTTACCTTTTGACCGCGATGAGCAAAGTTAGTGGTAGAGGTTCTGTAATTTTTATGCAGATGGCTTAACGTGCTTCAAGTTCATGAAGAAAATCCAATCGAAAATCGAAAAGGTATTGGAGTCAAATGACGGGGGGAATCTTCCACCCTCAGACGTACCTCCGCTAGCTCAACCCCCCAGCTCTCGTCAAATATATCGTTTCCGCAAACAGCGTGGTGTCAACCTTGGATCCTGGTTTACTTTAGAGAATTGGCTTACACCAAGTCTTTTTCAACATGCTGCTGAACCCAAGGCCAGCGAGATGGACGTGCTTCGAGGTTTGGGGCCTCAGGGAACGAAATCCATGCTCGAAAACCATTGGGCTCATTTTATCGATGCTGGTGACTGGAATTGGCTGGTAGAGCATGGAATCAATACTGTTCGTATACCTGTTTCGTATTATCACTTTCTACCAGGCCAATCCGAACCAGAGGTCCGCCAGTTGATGCGAGGTACGGAATACGAAGCGTTCGCAGACGTGTACGTCAATGCGTGGAAGTACGTCGGTTCCAATATCCAAGCTGCGCACGAGCATGAGATTGGGGTACTCATCGACCTCCATGCTGCTCCTGGAGCTCAGAACACCGATAGCCATTCGGGTTTGAGTGGTGGTAAGGCTAGGTTGTGGGACTCGAACGAACATCAGAGACGGACTGTACAGACTCTTGTGGCGATGGCCAAGGAGATTGCGAAGTATGATAATGTCGTTGGTTTGGAGTTGCTCAACGAGCCGAAGAATAATAATCGGTTGATGAGCTGGTATGATGAAGCGATTGGGGCCATTCGTTCGAGCTTAGGAGCTCAGGCTCAGGAACTACCGATTTACATTTCTGACGCTTGGGATACGAATTGGTACTGTAGGTGTATCATCTCTTTACTGATACAATTAAGAATTTACATTTTACAATTTTCAAGCGAAATACGTCAACGACCACTCGAATCTTGGATCGTTCCTTGTTTTGGATCATCATCTGTACCGATGCTTTACTTCTCAAGATCAACACAAATCGGCCTCCCAACACGCTGGAGAGGTTCATCCATCCAACAATGGACCGTCCGCATTGATGTTAGCCAACGCGTCTAAAGAAACACAAGGGTCGATCATTATCGGCGAATGGAGCGCCGCACTCAACCCTGCTTCGCTTGCTTCGTATCCAGACCATGAATCCAAGCTTGCGGCTCAGCGTGAGTGGGGTCATGCACAGTGGGAAGCCTATGAACAGCGGTGCGCCGGTTGGTTCTTTTGGACATTGAAGAAAGAGGGAGGCTCAGATCGAGGATGGTGTTATTATACTGCAGTTGAGCAGGGTGTTTTGCCAGCACAAGCGGATAGGATTAAGGCTGCGTTTGTCAGTGGAAGACACTCGATTGAGTCTCTGAGAGCGAAGGGTATGGTGGAGAATCAAAGGGCAATGCAGGCGCATGTTGGATGGTGGAATCAACATTCTTCAAACCCGAATGAGTTTGAGCATTGGCGCTTTGAAGAGGGATTTCGTCAAGGTGAGCTTTGAAACCACCTGAAGGCCGATGTTCATCTGTGTTTATAGGATGGGGAGATTGCATTGTGTTTTTTTTCGGGGATCTGACTGGGGAGTTGCGCGGGTCAGAAGTGGGGTTTGTAGGTCAGTGGAAACGTTTGAGAACGGAGGGACATCGCAGAGAGAAGGGAAATAGCAATATGGTTTGGGAATTTGAGCACGGCTTCGAACAAGCAGTCGGGATATTTTGTGAAGTCTTGATTTAAAATAAGGACAATGCAACTTTCTATAAGTACAAAAAATGAGTTTGTCAACTGACAGGATATGACCACCGCAGGACTCGAACCTGCAACCTTTTGGTAGATTCGGCAATCGAAGCCAAACGCGCTACCATTGCGCCAGGTAGCCATATTTAACATAGTTGCTTTTGGGGCCACTAGGAACATGCATGTACAAGGCTCCAGTTGCGCCGCACACGTGACTGAACGAAACGCGATCCAACACTCCACGCGCACTTCTTGCAATCTATGTACATTATCTGCAACTCTTGAAATGGCTACGGCTACACTCTTTCGTCACTCATCGAATCCACTGGATCGTGGCTCTTCTGACAATGCAGCATCGAAACTCAAGAACATATCTTTATTCACGAAATCCCGGAATTCAGTGTCCTCGGACGATCCACTATCACTAGGTGGCCCAGACGCCCAAATGCGAGAATTCGTTCACCACTTAGAAAGCGTTCATCCCGCTGCAGCAGCATCTATGAAGAAGCAGGCTTATGGTAAGGGTCCAGTCAAATCAAGGCAGTCCGTCACTGGTGTTATAGACTTGGATGAAGAGGAAGGAGGAACCGATGAACTGGGGCTATCAGGACGAGATAGCCATGGGCGAAGAAAAAGACGAAAGACGGAGACGGACGAAAATCAAGAGGAAGAGAAAGAGGTAGTAGCGGAAATCGAGGATCTTCCTTACGAAGAAGAAGAAGAATACGCAAACGACGAAGTAATGTCGGAAAGCTCCTCGGATGACGAAGAGAACAGTTTATCACGGAAACCATCCGAAGAACAAGAGGAAATTCTGGCAGAAATAGCTGACCTTGAAGAGGCAGTACCACAACTATCAGCCGATTACAAACTGCTCGACCGACTCGGAACTGGGACCTTTTCATCTGTGTACAAAGCCTTGGATCTTCATTACCATGACAAATGGTTCAACGCGCCGTGGCACGGTCATCACCATACCTCCTCTTCTGCCCACTATCAGTCCCTTCCACGGCCGCCAGGCACCAAAGTTTACGTCGCTGTAAAGCGTATTTATGTCACAAGCAGCCCAGAGCGCATTCGGAATGAAATCTCCATCCTGGACGAATGCAGGTCGTGTCGACACGTATCGCAGTTGATCACAGCATTCAGGCAGCAAGATCAAGTAGTTGTGATTATGCCCTATCAGAAGAACGATGATTTTCGGGTGGGTGTAACTTATGATCGTTGTTCTGATGATTTAACGTTGTGTGAATCTGCTAGGACTACTTTACAGCATTACCTATGGAGGGCATCAAGGCATACATGCGTTGTTTGCTCCGCGCTCTCCGTGATGTCCATTCTCGTCATATCATCCATCGCGACGTGAAACCTGCGAACTTTCTCTTTGATCCACGGACGGGGATTGGAACATTGTGCGATTTTGGGCTCGCCTGCGTGAGTCGATAGTAGTTTCATTCCGAGCCTGCTCCTGACGACTTTCGCAGCGTATGAATTATGATACTGGGCTCAATCTCTGTCTGCATACCTTGCCCACGGCGGAGAATCCGCACGGAATGTCTAGAAACAAACGAGAGTACAATGTTCCTCATTACAAACAAATGAATAGGGAAGCCAAGCAGAAATCCATGAGACCTTCCGAAGAAGTGGGGTACCTAGACAAGGATCCAAGGTCAATGTGTCTGCTTCTCTTGATTCGCTGAGAAGACTGACCCTTGTATGCAGGCCGCATTCAAAGGCAAACCGTGCCGGAACACGGGGGTTTCGTGCGCCTGAGGTGCTATTGAAATGTGGAGACCAAACAGGCGGTGAAGTACTCCGTTGCATGATCGGTAAAATCAATCTGATTGTCTGTTATAGCTGTGGATGTTTGGGCTGCAGGAATGATATTGCTATTCTTTCTCACCAAGAAATTTCCTTTATTCCAGTCCAACGACGATATAGAGGCATTGATGGAAATCGGGACAATCATTGGCAGGAGGAACATGGAACAGACGGCGTGTCTGCACAGTGAGAAGACTTCCCTTGAATCAATCAATCAACTGTTCAACTGTCTCATCGTGTAACAGGCCGGACGTTTTCTACCAACGTGCCATCCATCACTCCTGACGGAATCTCATGGTCAGATTTTGTCACAAAACAGAATCCTGATCTCTATTCGGTACCAGAGCCCGACGTACGGTTCTACCCATACACCAAACAACTGAAAGATCAAGCTCAGCGACAGATTCAAGAGCTTGATGCACCCGAGCAGACCCCGTATCATGATCCCGACCGCGAGCACGATGATATTTCGCAACACGACAACTATCGCCTTACACCAGTCCCATCTTCATCTCCCAGTCACCTTAGCATCAACACGAAGATTGCCAATCCTTCCTCTGCATCGTCTCTAGTTTTCCCCTCATCCCCACCGAAATCCATTGAATCCGGCGAATTATCGCCTCTTACTCCCATTGAAGACGAAGAATTCGGCGAATCCCCGAGACAATCACTCTTCTTAAGGGGTCCGTCACAGAAACAACATGAAGAGGACATCGACAACGCTCTGGACCTAGTTGAGGCTCTTTTACATCCTCTGTGCACCAAACGGCTTACACCTCGAAGCGCGTTATACCATCCGTTCTTATATTCTAGTAGCAATCGCCGCCAACAGGAGGCAGATCCAATGGTCGACGAGGATACTGATATGGAATTCGGTGCTGACGAAGACTTGGACGAGGAGGTAGAACCCGAAGATGATGAGTTCTTTCCCCATCCGTTCGGAGAGGGTGTTTGCCGCAAGTGGCACGCTCGAGACGAGGTGGGAGCGCCTTACGTGTGTATATACGCGCAAGACGATTTTGATAGTGACGACGCTGCAAATTTTGGTGAGGATAATGGTAAAGGGAGGAAGAAAGTTTGGCATAGTCTTACAAGCGGGGAGGGGATTGCTATTGGGAAGCAGCCTTGTGAGTTTCACAAGATCGGTTACGAGCTGGATATGCCCGGGACGTAGGTCATTCTGCAGTGATTTGTGGCGATATCTGGTTTGTTGGCGTGGATGCACTGTCCATTTTACGGTAGATCATCTCTTAGGGATGTTGCTTTAGTATCGTCAGTGCCTTTCTATGAACAAGTTGATTTGTGCTTCACAAAGCTACGATAGGTATCTACATTCTATTGCCCGGATGCGACTCGAGGATTGATGGTGTTTATTGTCAATGAGAATGTGGAGGAGTTCCCAACATTCGAAGCAGTCCAATATGTCCTCCGATAGCAGTCCAGAGACTATCTTTCTGCGATTTCGTGTTCCTATCAGCAACTCCTGCATATGTACCATTAGATATCAATACGCACGACTTCGTACTTCACCCCGTACTCTTTAGCAGTCTGGCGCACAATTTTTGCAACTGCTGGGAGGTGCTCTTGAGCGATATACGGGAAAAGATGATGAACCACCTGAGCTAGTCATGGGCATTTCATCACCGAAAAGCAAGTAAACCTCATACCTGGTAGTTAAGGGAACCCGAGAAGAAGGTTGTGAATGGTCGATCATGACCGTAATCTTGTGCTGTCTCTACTTGTAAGCGTGCCCAGTCAACATCGATGTTCCCGGTTTTAGGATTCACCACTGGGAATGCCGCAGTATCGACAACATGGGTGGCCTGAAAAATCAATGCAAGGATGATGGATAATGTGAAACTCCAGAAAGAAACGGAGTAAGAGAAAAAATTTAATCAAAGTTAAAAAAGAAAACTCACTCTGCCACCAGAAACGCTGAGATAACTCGTGAAAGAGTAATTCCCCAGAACAATGGAAGAACAATGCGGCTTGTAAAAAAGAACAACTATGATATGTTGATCATTATTCTGGGTAAATTGATCACAGAAACCATTACCTTTCCATTCCAAAATATCATTTTCTGCGAAAATGTGAAAGAATTCACCTTCAATGGGCCTCGATGCTGTGGATTGGAATAAACCGAATCCAAAGATGGAAATATACAGTCAAAATGTTGGTACTCACACCAGCAAAATAATGAGTCAAATCTTCGAAACGGACAGCACAACCAAGGAGAATATAAAGGATAGGAGAATAGAAAGACTGGAGCTGGTAAATGCTAAAGTATTTCTGAGAGTCTTTGATGCGCCAGAATTCAACCTCAGATGTTTCAATGTCAGCATCATAACCGTCAACATTTGTGAAAATGTGGTGGCTCATAACATGCTGGTATGTCCTGGGAGGAAGGGGTCCAACAAACTTGTATCATGTATAGAAACAAATATCACATACCATAATGTGCTTGAACACCCGACAAAAAAATCATGACCAATAAGAAGAAGTCTCCAGACTCTTGGGTTATGGCCAATGGCACCATGAGAACCATCATGCACAGCAGTGACACTGTACTGAGACAATGCGACACCATGTGCAACAGAAACAAGATAGAATACCCAGAATGAGTTAGATGGCAACCACCACTGCAACCCATACAAGATCCATATGCTGAGGGCAGTGGAGATATATCTGATATATGCTCCTGCAGAGTGTCTTGGGTCTATTTTGAAAGCCCAAAAGTGATTGTTGACACGTCTTTTGAGTGTCAAAAAGAAATCATCTGAAGGTGGAAAAGAAGGCACATCCTGTCCTACTAGCAACCCAATCCGAAATTTTTGTAAAATGTGGTGCTGTTTTTGTCCATGATATGCTTCGAAGACCTTTGTCACCTAGATATACAAACCTGATTGACACAATGATAGAGGAGGTGATATATCATTGAAACATACATCTTTTCCGGCTGCCAATAAGATGAAGTCCTTGCCCCCCGGGTGTTGACAAATGAACTCAGTTAGATCATATACCTTCTTGCAGAATCAGAGGCATTACGTTAATAATTTCGGACCACTTACCAATCCGTCAATAGATACCCAGGCTTTGCTGTGAGTGCATGCACTCTTCAATTCCTCTAGAGGGATAAAGTTGGGAGCATAGTTCAAAAGGCTAGTTGAGTCATGAGCTATCATGATTTGCACAATTTGAGCTGGCTCCAGGCTGGAGCAAATAGACAATGATGGAGAGCAGATAGAAATCCGAGGGAAAGGACAAGTATTAATACCAAGGGAACTGAATAGTGATGCCGAAACTGTCAATCAAGGTGAGGCAGGCTCAAGGCAGGCTCAAGACATTGCAGTCCTGGGATCACCGGAGATCCCGAGCAATCTCAACATCAAAATCAAGAGATGATCAGATTTAGATTCCACAGTGAACAACCTTCTATGAGTCTTTATATACCGCTAACACATACTGCCATCCAGTCATTCGTTGCCCCTTCTTTTTGAAAGTCCTTTTTGAAAGTCCTTTTCTTCTTAACTATCTTTCACCCAAAGTTGTTTCTATCATTTTCATTTTCGAGAACAGGTTTCTAGTCATGGCTGGAAATTTTGTGGCATTCAATACCATTGAGATCATTGGCTTGATTGGTGCCCTTGTCATAATTTCTACTGCAGTTTTATCACCTTCTATTCACCGTCTTTCTACTTGGTATCTGGTCCTAGGCAGCGGCGCTGCCTATTCATTCTCAATGCTGCTTTTAGCAATGGCCCATGGACAAACTGGTCCTGATCCTACATTCTCGCTTTGTGTTGTACAAAGTGCGCTAATCTATTCCAGTCCGATTTGGTAAATATCCATTGCTTGATATACTTTATGTGGATTGCTCATTGCATAATCATTCTGAATGAATTCTTAGGCTAATGGCTGCATCTTTTGCATTTGCACTCCAGGTATTTATAATGCTTTTTTAATTATTTCTTAATGTTGTGATTGTTCATATGTCCATTGCTAGTTCCATTTGACAGTACTTCACTATGTCAAGCAATATAATGGAAAAATACATCGTAATAGCAAATGGGTAAGCACTAAATTGATACAGCACTGTTAATAAAATAAATAACTAAAATACTTTAGCTTCCTTTATCGACAGTAATCCTGTTTACTATATTGACCATAGTATTTCTCATAGTGAGTCTTGGCTTTAGATTGTTGCCCGTGTGGAGATATACATATAACTAAAAATTTCTGGGTACACAGGTGGGCATTGTTCAGCCACAAGCTGTTCAGCGTAGCCCTGAACAATTCTATTGTCATTTTACAAATGACATAGGGTATGCCAAATCAAACATACTTATTCATGTGCTGTTCACTAAAGTTGTTTTACTACAATCAGGGTCTACTCTGTAAGTGTATTCAGTGTGGCCTTTGCTGTTGGGTCTGTTGTCTGTGAATGTAGGTTTAAATGTTATTTTATTGCCACATTTAGCATTTACATAGGCATTGTTCCATTCCAAAGCAAAGTCAGGCATGCTTCTTTACCACCACTGGAAGCACAAGAATGAATTTTACCATCAGTCAAATGGCCAAGTTTCCATTGGTGTGATGATCCGCCTGGCAAGCTTCAGTCTTCTCTCAATTCTCTCAGTTGCGTGAGTAACTGGTCTCCGAAAAATCTTTGTGTACCAGCAATTTTCAAATTTTAATTTTAAAATTAGCACTTGTGCTCTGTATATGCTTCCTAGTCTCCGGAATTTTGAGAACATTATTGTATACAATGCATTCTGTAAGATTTTACAACCCAATAAGAGTTCACTGAATTCAGGGTACATATCTTACAGTGTCCAATGTTGATGTCATTATCCTGGGTCTCAATCTGGTGAGTACTTTGAATGGCTCTTTGCTTCCAATTTCAAATTATTTCTATGCCAGTCAATTATTCAAACATGGATGTTCTGGAGGAAGAGCCCAGCTGCTTGCAAGATTGCTGTTCAAGTGAAAGTTGAACAAAGGCATGTTTAGGATTGTTGAAATTCAAACCTGGCACTGTACAATGAGGAATCACGGATCTTTTGGAACCCTGTTACAGTGTTACTACAGCTGTATTTTGTTGCATAACATTGATCTACTCGAGCCCAATTGGGGGCATTTCATAGCAAAATGTTCATAGGCTACATGCTTGAGCACAAATAGGCCAGTCTTATGGGCTCAATGATCTAGTGTCTTGATTTGTCTATCTTTGTTCAGTTTGCTTCAAATATTTTCTGTTGGGTGAGTATCTCTCTGGGGTTTTTGACCAATACTGTGCTCAAATAATTTATAGGACATGTATATTTTACATACTCCCTGAAATAGAATACTTCGATGGGCTCATCGTGTACAATGCTCTTAGTAATTGAAATTCATTCATTTGTTGATTGGAAAGATTTACAATTACCCTAAACAGTGTATAATATTAATGTTCTTCTTTTGGGACTCAATACAATGGGGGCAGTTAACTCATTTGACAGGACATGTTGATTCTCATGTCCATTATAAAGGCCTTGATGTTTTGGACAAAAGGGGTTCAAAATGGTTGAAGTGATAGAGACATGCATATTGAGAGAAATGACGCAGTTTAGGTCACCACTTTGTTATTTATCCCCTGGGCTGGACTCTAATGCTAGCTACTCAGTAAATATAACATATAAAATGAACACGAAGAGCCCCGAGCGTGTACTCATTTGTTACTTCAAATGTTTCTAGAAATTGAAATTGTTCCGCAATATCAAAATTCAAGAGGAAGTTGAGGGAATGCTGGCAAGGACACGATTAGCATGGCCTGATCTATTCTTGTAGAAGACGATATCGCTTCTATCTTCAACGAACTCGCATTCAGTAAATGAGCGGTAGAGTGCGCGAAAAGAATTCTAAATTGAGAGTAAGAGAGAATACTACGTGAAGCGAGTAAGATCAGAGATTCGACTCACGGTAGAATCATAATTATACTCCTTTCGCAATATCTTCTTGATGCATGCCGTCGCAAGGGGCTGATTGTCTAGAAAGTCCTGCAATTAATAGCAGCTCATCTTCGAATAGAGAATATAACTGACAAAACGGGATGGCGGAGAAAAGATGGTGAGATATCTGAGAGCGAGAATTTCAGTATAGCAGGCAGTCATCGGGCACATTTAACACACATGGTTGTGAGAGACATTATGGAAGAAAACACGCCCTATCCATCCCAAAAATGGTCGATCAACACTAGCCAGCGCGCCACGTACAAAATTCCACTGTGAACGACGATAATACGGAACGGTTGGGTCGGTGTGCTGAAGGTATGTCAACATGACAATCCAATGGTTCGTGAGCTGGTAAGAAATGAATCAGCGAGTGTGGGACACACGCTCATAAAACATACCAGATACGGCACACAGTAGGAACGAAAGAAGTGGCCAAACCCAACTTGCTTCGTCCATTGGTACAGAAGATAAACCATGAACGTGAGCCCTATATCGGACATGACAACGCCCGAGCGCTCGTGTGGCTTGAATAGTGACGAGTAAGGGCTGAAATGCTGTTCGATACAGTGAGAAAAAGCAAGTCATCAGAGTAGAGTTACAAGGCCAACGGCTTACATTCGTTCCCGGTGGATGCCTGGGGGACCCTTTGCGATTGAATAGTAGATAGAATATCAACCCGAATACTTGCATAGCGACGATGCGGAAAGTAGTACACATCGGTGTTTCCTCAAAGGCTTCACGATAATCTGCAACATTCGCTCTATCTTCAGGTGGAAGAGCAAAACTAGATCGGGTACGAGGAACGTAGTTCTCGTCTCTCTCGACCGAAGCAGTAGATGCATGATGGGAGAGATGCGATGACTTCCATGAGAAATATGGCACCAAAAGAAACTACGAAGCGATCGTTATGAGCAAAATTCTGAACTTGAGTGATGGAACTCACAGTATGCAGTACGAAACCAACAGCGTCGTTGACTAGAGCAAAGGATGATAAGGTGCCGTGACTCGCTTCGTGAGCTAGGCACCACCAAGAGGTGAAGAGAATGCCTTGGGCATTGAAATAGAATAGCCATAGAACATATTTGACCAGGCGAAGAAAGTTGCTTGGCTCGAAGAATACAGTCGCTGGTGATTCCAAGAACCACGCGAGCCTGTATAGTACGATCGCGAGGGTCACGTCACGAACGACGTAGCTCACACCCTTCACAGTCGATCTCCTGAAAATGTGCTTCGGCAACGACGAATGAAGTTCATTCCACGTTATCTGCAAAAGCAACGAAGATGATTAAATTGTATTTTGAGGAAGGTCTGCTAATTCACCTTGGAAGGCATAAACGGGGTATCCTTTCGAGTGATGTACTCAGGTGAATCAGCAAACGCAGAAGAAAGCATCGCAGAAAGAAAAGCCATGCAAGGATGATACCACTGATGATACTATATAAGTACCAACTCCTGAAGCATTTCATCTGGGAATTGTGGCGAAGCGAGTTTTGCTGGCTGGTATCTTTCTGCATAGCATTCGTTCTATGAGGCCTGAACACAGGCAATCAAATGCAGATTCGGAGGCCTAATTCCTCTTCTATATGGACAAGGTGAAAGAGGAAATACATATCAAGTTATTACACACCTTTCTGAAATTTTTGATTCTAATTCACCTTGCTAAGAAAGTTTCCCCTAAGTGAAATGCCAGGGAAACTCTGAACACGGTGATGTTTATTGATGCGTCGTCCGAAAGTCACTGATGAATCGCAGCAGAACAGCCACAGTTGACAGAGGCAATTAAATTTACACGGGCACATTTTCGTGTCAATCGTCTTACATAGTCATACTTACCGTTTTCCATCAACTTTGTATCAAGCTGCCCATATGATGAAACCGCTCAACCATTTCAGTACACTGTTGACACATTGCGATATGTTAGGAAAGATAAATATACCCCTTCGTCTGCTAGAAGCCATACTCTGGTGGATTGTCCACTGGAACATCTCCGACAAGAGTGACAGTGCTCGATTCTGCGGGGGATGTATAACTCGCTGAAAATCATTGCCAAATTTAAGCTCCATGAATTCGAGGATGATAACCATAGAACTCACGTAGACCCTCGTCCTCTTGTGCAACCTGTCTTCTCATGTAGATAGCGCGCTCTCTCGTCTTCTCTAGTAGCGCCACAAATTGAAACATGGCTTGATTCTTAAATCGGAGTTCAATGCCAGTACCATCTGTCAAGCCACCTCCGGAAGAAGGTTTTATCTCGAATGAGAGATAATTTGCGCCGAATGTGGGCTGTTCAAAACGAGTAGTGAGAATAGAGGGCAAAGGGACCGTTAAAGAGTCGAATGATGAATCTGGAGAGGAAGTGAACAGGAACTATATTGAAGGGTGAGTTACCTAAATGTACGAACAAATATTTTTCGACGCACTCGACGATCAGTTAGCCATATCCTTCCCATAGCTTTCAGCTTCTGAGCGCCTCCAGATCCGCCAGATAAACGGCTACCCGCTGGTGGAGTGTCCGGTATGAGTAATATCACTTCTGCTCCTGAATCGACCGTGGATATGATGTTCTCATCTGGTAAAGGTATCGGTTCTCTGATTGCATTGAGCATTGCACAGTTGAGTGCCATGATTGTCAGTGCAGTAATGGAAGTAATGATCAGCAATCCACAACACAGCAATTGGAATCGATAAACGCCTGCACTTCTGGGCGCTTAATTTGTCGGCCAGTTTCTGCGTAGATTCGTTCTTACGATCCTGAGCACCTTGCTCTACTCTGGTGCTTTTGTCAAACTTAAACACCGATACCAGCACTGGAGCAGAAGCCTCATTGATTTGGATTCGATTCGGTGAGTGCTGGCAAACGTCCCGGTTCTATTTGTCGACTTCGATGTCCAGGATAACGCCTGTAGATTGAGCCGAGCTTCGCGCGCTCAGCGGGAATTTTTGTGAGCTCTGACCGCCATGACATCAATTTAGCAAGCTTGACCGTACCGAAGGGAACTCTTACCAAGGCTCGACTAGAACTCTTGATGATCCTAGGCTCCGTGAACCCCACTATGCCAGGAAGTTGGATGACGACGATCCTGCCGCGCGTTGGTGGCGCGACAGCGGGGGATACCCTATATAGAGCCAAAATTGTATCATGAGAAAACCAAACTCGACTCTTGGCGAAGTGCATTGCAGCTCGTCTACGAAGAGTACAACCCAAGCAATCACCATTACTCTCCCAGATAAAGAGAACGATACTTTTGACGCCAAGTCCAAAGCAGAATACCACGAGTGATGTTAACCCAATTCAATTCACGTCCCATCCCAAGCCAATAATGCTACTTCACCGATAGAGTGAAGCAACCGACCGGTATTGGACTACAAATGACTCTTGGACGAAAGCACAGCACCAATTTCAAGGAGATGCTAGTACTTTACCATCGCATGTCTAGCTAACATCCAGTTCTCTTGGTTTGTATCATTTCGAAGGGAAAGGATTTCAAGGTTCCCAAAGTAGACTCGCGTTTTCGTTGTTTTATACTCGAAATTTGCTCACATCTATATTCATAGAGAAAGACATGATACGTTTTAGTGAGTATACGCAATTCGAGAAGGTGTAGTATGAGATGGGAAGTGATTCATACTAGTAGCAAGAAACAGAAAGAAAGATGCGATAATTTACCAGAGCCTGAGGAGATACTTTTCGCGCCAATTTCCTTCGCAACTTTCTCGAAGGCTTGAAACATCTTGACTTCATCGTTGCTTCTTTCCCAACCGCCTCCAAACATATGTCCATTTCCACCAGTCTCCTTTCTGCGTTGTTCCCAGCGTCTGTGCACACAGAGTTTTCCAGCACCGAGAATGCGATTGGATGTTAACATTGAGTTGGTTGGGGACCAAAAGCGATGCACCTACATAACAGTCTCCCTTCAGTAATCACTGCCTACATACCAGACGAAGTCGCAGACTGAAACATGTGGTCTACGTTAGAATGAAATATATTTTGCATAGCATGGAACAAGCATGGAGGATGATTTTATTCAGAATGACAGTGCGCACGGTGCTCAAGACGGCGAATAAAATGGGGGCTCATTGTGTCCACGTTTTCTGAATTCTCTATTGTATTTTAGTTCCGCTCAAGGACGACCATTGAAGAGCGTCTAATGCACTTTTTGGAGCATTAGAATGCTGGTCATCCCTCTAAGAAAATAGGCCTTTTGCAAAAATACAGAACGGGTGGGTTCATACTCACAGCGAGGACAACATGTCATTAGAAGTGGAGTGAGAGCATGCTGGATTTTGCCAGCACTTTTGCGCATGGAATAATGATGGCGGGCCTGATTCATTTTACGAGAGCCGGGCCTCGAGGCAGCCTCACGACTTTAGGGCCGTAGGACAATAAGGACAATCTAATCTATAAAAGCCCGTCCTGCTGTTCGACTCAAACCACCATCAAGACTTTGTACTCTTTTTGCCTTCATCGCTATCGGCGGTGACTACTATCTACAGCACACTCTGCATTATCTACCCTTCACCTCTATCTACCCGTTCACCCATTTCCCTCCAAGCAATTATGTCTGATGAAATCCTTGTAAGTTCCCTTTTTTTCAGAATGAGTAGGATCCGTACTTACTGTTATAATTTTCCCTTCGAACATCCTCTTTTCGTACTTTTTACCGAACGTAGCCCGGTGATGTTGTCGCAGTCAATCATGGCTTAGCAGGTCGTCAAGAAGGGCTCGTTGTTGGGTCGCATATTGACTACCTGGTACGTGGTCACCGTTGGATCGTTTTCACCAGTTTTAACGCGGTCGTTTCTATAGGGCCGACAAATCATTGAAGTTCAGCTTGATTCTTATGAGGTGTATCATGCCTGGTGAGTGTCGAAGCACTTTGCGCTTGAAACATCATTTGATTTGAATTTGAACCGTGCTCTTCTTCCTATCCTCTTTTCGACCTCATTGTGTGCCCCTTGCCCTCACCAGGCATCCAACTGTGACCCGTATCAGGCGTACGATGTATAATCGACCCGCTCAAGTCCCTCTTATTGGAGGCGTTCCGAGGACTAGGACCGTTGAGAGAAAGATCTACTGGTAGTCTATCGCTTCGGTCACCTTCGACGGAGCTAAGCTCGCTCCTCGGCCTCGTGGATCATGGTTCTATTCCATTCATTTTGGACACAATGCGCAGAAGGACGCGATGTAATTTATTTAACACGGTGATGTTTTGTATGTATCTGGGTACTTCTAAAGCCTGAGGTCACAGTCTATCAGGAGAAAGATGAGGGTAGTACTGCAAAATTTCTTTGGACGCGTATGTACTCTTAGGAGACTGCCAATTTACTGTTCTTCGACGTATAACTCAGAGTGTTTAAAAGCTGTCAGTTTCCGAGGTCTGCAGCCCACTTTCGTCTTACGAGTACCCGCTGGGTTTCATGTACGTTGGATATATAACTGTTGCACCCGAAGCAAATTGCATCGTGGACATTTTCATGATCATTCCTAAACGATTGCGCTGAATGATCGAATGGACCAGTCAGGACTCGATCTGGGAACAAATTCCTCGATTACAGCTTGACCACAATGACGACAAATAGAGAATAGAGGTCCTGATATGAGCTAATTACCGGGAGCATGTTGATATTCGGAACTTTTACCGTAAAACCATTGAAGATGGAGTACAGCATCACCGTTAATATTGTCGTGGTTTGGGAAAGGTGAGTAAAATCGATCCAAGACGATGACTTACTTGAAAGAAGCACAATGCGCAGCCAAATCCGACTAGAAAGAAGAGACCTTTGTGAGCTATTCCATGGGGCTATCATGAACAAACCAAGGCGCACCATAAGCGATGCAAATGACGATCAAACTCGAAACATTCTAGTAAATCACTTGCTCGATAGTCACAAGATATGCGCTTTCTTGCGTGGCGAAAAGACCAAATCACAGAGAAGGTTAAGTCATTTGAAGGCAAACGTAAAAAAGTGCGGCTTCATAAATACTTTCGCCCATATTCCAGCACTGTTCCAGCACCATGCTATTCCACATGCTAATGAACGGGAAGCTGAGTCACATCGACAATCGACGCCCAATTATTATATACCCGAAATTTTGGAGTACGTTTTTCTGCCTTGATATATCACTTGGGTGTTTTGTGGCTGAGGTCCGTAGACTCTGAGGACACGACAATCCAAGAAATGGAGTATATTGACAACGGTCGATAGGAGTTTGAGGTCAGTGTCATTTTATGCCTTCGACTTCGGCGTATTTTCCAGCACATTTTTTATACCCTGCCTGAACACGCCGATTTCCTTTTCCAATGCAACAATCATCTCTCTGACTTCTTTACCGACCTGTCCACCTTCATTCGTCACACCAAATCCGATTAACAGCATCTTCCTTGCACGCAAGAGTGTTTCGTATGCGAGCTTCAGTCTAGGAAGACCTGACGGGGGATAAATCACCGACGTATTGGTTGTACGAGGAGAGGGTTCATCCACTGCAAGCAGCTTCCCTAGTTCGGCAAGCGCGAGTGCAAGCACAGGGTGACCTTCTCGGAAAAGCGCGGTAAAACCGGCAACGTTGGTCGTCGCTGTATGTATAGTCTCGTCGAGGTGTTCTTGGGTAAGAGGGTTCGGGAATGAGGAGGTAAGGAGTTGTTGGTGAAGGCGTGTGAGGCCGAGAAGCGGATGAGCAGAGGGTGGAAATCCAGCGGAGGTCAAGATAGGAATGAGATTCGTGGTGAGTTGTATCGATTTTCCTGGATCTATGACGATGAAAAACGAACGAGTTCGCAACGGTTTTGAGTAATATTTTCATGACATACCTTCAAATTGTAGATTGTTAGCTTTGTCTAAACCTTCTTGGCCAACTCTGAGTGCATCTAGAGCGGCCTCCACCGACCTAACGACAGATTTACATTTCGAACAGCGAACTAAAGCATGTTCTACACGTAGGCCAAGTTAAATTGGAGCAGAGGTAGACGTGCCTAGAGTTGCGTACCATCATTTGGTAGAGGACATGATCCACCACAATTCTTCGGACAATTCAAAGACGCTCTCGGATCCAGCCCCGTGGAAGTACACAAGTGACATATGCACTCGAAATTGTAGGTCTCGTTCAATGCTTGCTGACGTAGATTTGCAGGTAAAGTGGCATCGATGTAAGAAGTTAGGATCTGAAGACAAGAAAGCATCAAAAACGAAAGCTTGCAAGAAAATGTAACAAGAACATAACTCCTCTCCTGGGTAGATGTCACGAATTGCAATAACCTGCATCAAGGGTTCTTGAACTTTAGGATCGATCGAGACTCTAGGAAAGACCACAACAACATTGGGATCGCAAGAATGGTTGATCAGGGCTACCACGGGGGATACGGCAGCACCTAGAGGTGTAAGTGTAGGATCGGTAACTGTAAACGTATTGGTAACAAACTGTACAAAGTCAAGACAATTATATAACAGTACGAACAATAGTGTCCAAAGTACTCACGCGTGAGATCGTATCCACCAAATCAGCAGCAGACGAAAGAGAATACTGCTCCATATCCCCTGGGCTTGAGAGGCCAAGATATTGAACCAGCGAGTGCGCGAGGTAGGTGTGTGTTTCGTAGGCGGAAGGCTTCAATGAAGACCTATCTAAGATAAAGATCAGATATTTTCAACTGAAAAGAATCACGACCTACGGGACTGCATACTCGCTAATTCTCTGGCCTGCGCCAGGTGGATACGATCATGAATATAGTATACAAAGGTCACATGAGAAAGCACACCTGTCGAGCATGAGGTCCTTGTTTTCGCATTTTCCACAGCATTCGACTCAAACATCGAATAGCATCAGAAGGAGGAGGATAATCACTTGAAGGAGCGGCTTGTGACCAATTTTGTAAGGATGCGCATTCGTGCTTGTGGATAGCCCAGTCGTTTCTTTGACAATTCTAGAAAATGAGCAATTAGACGAACGCCGGCAAGGAAAATTATGAATCCTCAATCTTACGAAGTCACAGTAGTGTGTAACACGGCACTTCGTACACCGACGCAATCCATTCATGCCAGTTTGTTCAAAACAGTACGAGCAGTAAGATGTCAATTTCGGAGAAGATAACGCTGCAGCGCATGGCTTGGTGACAAAAATTACACTTCCTGGACATATACTTCTCGATTAACATCGAATCTCGGACGATAACACCTGATTTTTCGCATACCTGCTCTGATGGGTGACTGCGTCCATATTCCTCGCCCGATCTCCTCTGATTGTCGTATCTCGATGAATTCCGGGAGCTCGCTATACATTCCTTCTTCTCTTCCTACCACTTTAGTATTCGCTGATACCAAATTTTTGACCGATGAAGAAGATTCTAACGATTGTTCGGTAGATGCTGAAGAGACATATCGGCTGATGGTTGGTTGCACAAACGATTTGGTGCTTCTGGAGGACTTGAGCTGCGCAAAAGACATCTATCTCCTTGGTCGTCCAAGATTAAAGATTCAGCGTGGGAAGGCATTCCTTGTAGGCCTTCCTTGTAGACCTTAAGTTAGGCTCTGACCTTCTTTTATTTTGAATGTCATTACAGCGGAGCTCCACTGCGGTAAGGTTTAATCACCAGGAGTTGACAATATGATTCGGATAAGATCAACAATCAACATTTCATGAGGCAATTATTTGATGTCGATATCGACAATTCACCTCCACAGCATTCAACTTGTGCACTATGCTTAACGATAAATCTGTATGTATCGTTTATGTGTACTCCGTAATCGAATAGACTGTAGAGACTCACCAATATTTTTCTCATTTCTAATCCGTTAATTTGCAACGGATTCATATCATAATCCTATCCATTGGCTAACATCGCATTAATCTGTGCTAATGTATCGCACTTCTAGGTTACGCTGCAGATAGCATGATCAAAAGCACACGAAAACGAGCATCGTCCTTTTCTATATATTAGTGAAAAGGTCAGCACAGGTCAGCACTTAGCGATTCGTCACAATAATAGCCACCCACGCATTTTATGCCTCTGTAATCCTGAACATCCATGACATGAATCGCTGACTCCAATCGAGCAGCGAACAACAGTACTCCTAAGTGCACCATCCTCAGTTAACGTTGTGTTGACGTTCGAGCAAAGGTGTATATTTACATCGTATGGTTATCTTCGCAAATCCGCAACGCCGTCAGGCGATAAATTGGGACAGAATATCTGGGTAATTTACCTCAAAATTATAAAATTTAGGGCAATGTCGACGATGATGTTTTCGCTGCTCCAGAAGGAATGATTCAATCACAGATAATCCTTGGAAGATAGTTCCCGAAAAGTGACTGAGGTTAGTAATGTTACAGTGTTACTACTATATACGGTAGCGTTCTTTCTTGGTGCTTTACAACCGCCATCTTTCTACGTCGTCTTTTTCCAGTGAGAACGCTGATAATCCAGGTATCGTGTTTCACCCAAATAGATACTACAGACAATGTTCATACTCGATTTTCAAAGCTTCAAGTTTAACCTACCATGAAGCACAACAATCGAACACGCAATGCCCTACGACCAGAACAGCTGAAGCCACTCGTTGTTATATTAAACCAAGTTCGTCGTAGTATCGATCTTACGTTCATTCAATTTTTACCGCGCTGCAGACTATCTACCCCAGCGAGCACAATATTGCGAAGTTGTCGAACGAGACTGGATTAACTCAACCTGAGATAAAAGTACGTACAACTAGCGTATCATAGTTATCCATCTCAACATTCTTCGATACAGAATTGGTTCTACGTGAGTTTCTGGCACATAATTCGTCGTTGACATACCAAAAAAATCCTATTACAGAATCAACGACGGAAACTGCGAAGGAAAGCGTCGAAATTGGACCAGACGTTAACACAGTTGTGCCAAGAACAATGGCGTGCAATCTCTCAAGGACACTTCGATCCGTTTTACAGAGGATGTACATGTTCTTCCTATTATGCACCGCCGATGCAACTCCTCGAGGAAAATAAAATCACTCTACCACCTATTGCAATTATGTTCCCCGACATTTTCAACGACATGTACGATTACACTCTTCCCCCTCATGTTCACCCAATTGACCTATCTAATCCACTGTGACGAATAACACAACAAATCTTCCATCTCGCATTTGTTATACGATAGCTCTGAAATATGAACTACCCTTGTCATCAGTAACAAAAGATACATTTTTTAAACTATTTTAGCCTCCTGTAGAACGACGTCAATATGAACAGCATAATTCTTGATGCATCTTGTAGATATTCTATCCTATCCTACGTAGTACCGATCTTAAAGATTTCTTATTCGCACCGATGTCACAAACCACACTAAACACCACCAACAGCTGAAGGCAACCAGACACATAGTTCTCTGCTTTTGCCTGCTACATAATGATTTTTGCTATTTTACGATTCAAGAGACAACACGAGCTTGACAAGAACATCTACGCCTGATCACATGAACAAAATGCACATTGTACGTGATCAATACAAAGGTAATACCTTAATCACAACTTCTTTTACATTTCAAATGACTGGGTCAAAGGCCGCAAGCGGCAGGTGCCAAACAATGAAAGTGGTGGCCAACCACCATTTAAATAAACTAGTGCACCTTCTAAGAATATGTTATTGCTGTTTTCACAAAAGTTGGCACCTCGGTCACATACTTTACTTTTTGGCTTCAAAATGATACCAAATGAAAACATTGATGTCTCACTCGTTCCTCTACTAGGTGGGGCCAGGTAATGAGACGCACAAGCGTATTTTGGTTATCATACATACTGTCAAGTCCATGCCTCAGTGCCCCATTCTGCTGCTCGGTATTCCGAGATCTACCGTTTATTGTAATCTCATCCTTATTGTTCTTTCTTGCTACACATACCCTTTCATTCTAGTCTCTCCTTATTATCTTTTTCTCTACCCTGCAGGTACTACTTGTATAGCTCCTAGTAGTTAGTTGTAAGACCTGGGTCAGAATAGGTCTTAGGGCAGGTTTTGGTATAAGGAGTTTATGTTGTAGCGTGCTAGGAGCAGGCTGGAGCTTGAAGGGAGCTACAGGAACCGCGACCGAGGACGGGAATGACCTAGTAGTGGCTGGGATAGAGAGATGTGACCCTTGAAGGGGTTCCTATAAGGTCCAGGGAGGTCCCTAAGTCGTAGGTAGGGGAGGTAGAAGTATGGAACCTAGTAGTGTTGTGTAGTAGGAGTTGTACTCGCTAGAACATCAACGTAAAATCGAATAGGTCATAGTGGAAGTGGGTCTCGAGTGTGTAAGCTCCTGAGAAGATATACGCCCGGGAGGGGAGGTCCCGGTAACGAGCTTGCCTCGTTTTTGTGTGAAAGAGAAAGGAAGGAATCTAATGGGCACTCCAACCAACCAATCTAATACACAATATGCGAGTTCACTGCTATCAAATTTATTTAATAGCAAGGGGTAGCATTGGCAAAGGTTCCGCAAAGCTTTGAGAGCTAAGTAAGAAGCTTTGATCAAGGTAGATTCAGCACAATTTGTGCTGAGATTGTATTGATATGGGTATATCAAGAATTGGGGGTTTGAATCAAAGTAAATTAAAACCGAAACACACAGACCCCTACGGAGGGCTAGAACTATGTGCTGGCACAACCACACAGCGTGATTTGCCCTTAAGACCAACGACTGATCCTAAGTTCGAAGAATACCCAACAACTGGATATACTTCTTGCAGTCACAAGGAGCAGAACACAATGTTCCTATACTCACAAGTGCCGGGCCCGAATGGCTGCTAGCGAAGAGGTTTCAGTCTGGCGGGAGTGTGTCTTTCCTTTTTACGGATTAGCACTGCAACGTCGTCCCAAAATCACTTGTATTCCAGATACATCGGATCGCTATTTATACATACAGAATATAGAATCGCACAGTACAATTAATTTAATACAATGAATGTTCGGAACCGCAAGGAAACTTCTACACTCGGTCTGATACCATTTAATTTGAATCTACATGTCCTTATTTGGTCCATAATGGTTCCAAGATTCAAGTATACCTCCAAACATAGGTAGGTACTTCGTTATTCATTTAATTTAATTGTTTTGGAGAATGACTCGAATGGTGTTCAACTGTCATTGCTGTTCAACACTTACTTCGATCATTTGTCACCTCGTCCGGAGGCAAATCAGCTCTCCTCGATTCTAATCCTATCAATCTGATTCATCTGGATTAAACTAATTGCTTCTCTCTTTCAACAGACACCCATTGTGCCTATACTCTATCAAGGGAGTTACGCATAGTATTCATTTAATGGCATTCTTCAATATTTGCTATATCAGGACTCTTTGACATTCATTTGATATGTCTTCGGAGCCTCGCAGTACTTTGATCGTTCTTCTAGTCATTTTCCTCAACCATGCAACTTGATTGGTCTATTAGACTAAATCACAGTCTTTTAGATTAATGCATGATCTCGTTCTAGAAGGAGTATTTGATAATTCCTGAGTTCTAGAAAGTCATTTCGAGTCAATCCTCGGCTCATGGTCACTTGAGTAAGTTCTTCCAAACTCCTGCCAGTGTAAGGTCCAATAAGAATACCCTTGGTATGTCATACATGAATGGTCATCCTTCGGATGTAGTCCAAGTCTGGTATAATCCTGCTTGACAAACAGGTTGACTGCTATCCGAAGGTAGTATCGGGGATGGGTAAACTAACCAACTTGTGGTAGTATGGGTATATGGTCCCTTCAACTTATTAGACTGATTCAGTATTGACTTTGACTGTCAATCTGGGTCTCAATTACAGTCCTCTCAATACAAGTCTATACGTGAAAATGTCACAATTCACAGTATAGACATGTCATCCCCCCCAAACTAAAGAATTTGACCGTCCTTGGTCATTCGTAGTTTTGTACAGGAATAGGATACCCAATCTGTTATTAGATTGATTCGACCAGACTATATCTCCTTTTAATATAAATCACTGGGTTTGGATCTCTACTTATCCGTGCTTTCCAATCAATTTGGATGCCCTCAAATGGGTTTCTAGCGCTCATCTTATCAATTTATTCACACGCCTGCTACGAATCGTAACAGTTTAGCGCTCAATTTGAATTGAATACTTTTTCGGTATTCATATTACATTTCGAAATTTTTAATTCACAATCTTTTCATCATCTAGTCACAGAACGAGCTTCCATTTCACGGAGAGCTGCTCTGACGTACGTACTGATTCATTGTGTACATTTATTTGGTTCGGGGCACGGGGTTCAACAAATTTTCGTTGAAGTCCGTTTTCTCCCCTCATTTCTTTCTTTCATCTCGTCAATTCAAAATGGCTTCAACCTCGAGTCAAACTCGCGCTGTCGCCTCAACTACTCTTCTTCCATGCTCTCTAATGGAGGCCCAGGTGATACTTGCAGGTATTCAATCTAAATCGACACTTCCTTTATTTTTCGAAAGCGCAGTTTTCCAACGCCTTCAGGCAGGAGATTATTCTCCTCCTTTACTTGATTCTCAACATTCCCCGGATTATGATGGATCTGGTTCCTTTCCGGCGTTCTCATACCCTCGCCCTTTACTTCCATACTGCTTTCCTTCCAAGACTTTGCGCCCTTTGTCAGTAGCATCAGGCTTGGACCTGTTTTGTTCTGCCCAAATGGCAGTTAGAACATTACAAGTCTTGACGGACGATTTTCCTTCTACGGAGTCACCGGAAGTTTATGATGTTTTTGAGGAGGCTGCACCATTTTTGGTGCATAACTGAAAACCCTTCCTACATCGTTTATATTAATGGTTTTCACTAGGTTTATATTCGGAACTTCTGGATCGGTCGGGCCAATTGCCCTTTATTTGCGGAGCAAGTTCGATTGTCGGCAGAATCCCTTTCTCTCAGCCTACCCGCTTTTCTTCGCAACGATTTGACACAGCAATGGGGCATTCCCCCTGAACATCATTCTTCAACTGAAGTAAGTGTTCCTTTCTATTGAATTCTCTTTTATTCTCATTTAATTTAATTTACAGGGTGTTCACAAATTTGAACGATTCCCTGCCATTCCGATTCCGTTTTGTCTACGCTTTCATGAGGGAAGCGCAATGATGCGTTCAGTTCCTTCTAAAGATCTAGATGCCTTTGCCTCGTTACGCGGTAAAGGGTCTTTGGCGGGTGCATCGAAGCTTGATCCTCTTGCACCTCCTTTGGAGATCACATCTTCGACCTCTGTTACCAAGGCGCTTGTAGCTCCCCCTCGATTAATCAGAAGGAATCGGGAGGTAGAGAGCCTCAAAGCTGATGCTTCCTCGTTTCGTGAGTTATAAATTTAATTCGTAGATTTTTGTTTTATTTATCCATTCTTTTGTTTTTGATTCAGTTTCCTCGCCGCGTTCCACTTGTTCAAGAGACTCGGATAACGAGCTCTTGAGTGGGTTTCCTTCTGTAGATTCAGCTCCCCGAGCCTCTTCGTCTACCAAGACTTCCGTGGGCAGGAAGGAGCCTAGACCTTCAACTACTGTCAAGGTAGTTGAAGGTTTCAAAGCCTCCGACCCCCCTACGCCTGCTATGGTTTATAAAAGGGTTCGACTTCCTCCTCGTTCGAGGAAAAACTTTGATTACCTCAAAAGGAAAGGCACGGCAAATTATTGTCACTGACGAAGATTTGGCTTCTAATGAAGTGGAATCTGAAGATGAGGATGAGGAGGAGGACACTGCGCCCCCTCCAAAACGCCTAAAAATGACGTCTTCAATTTCCGGTAAGATTTCATCATTGTTTTTTCATTTTTATTTCTTTAATTTAATTCTATTGCAGCTTCGTTGCCTCGTCGTTCGATTAAATGGGTGTCTGTCCCCAAACGAGTTACAAAGGTTGCCACAAAGTCCGCTCCCGAGCATTCCCCAGAGAGTACCTTCCAACCGGTACTCTTGGCGGATGCTCAAGGACGCCTACGACTTCCAGAGCAGTCAACTGGTGCCTTCACACCTTTTCCAAAGTTTTCACATGCCAGGGTAAGTCACAGTGATTCAATTTAATTTAGTTAATACTAATTCTATTAATTTAATAGAATAGCGCTGCCTTGAATCGCGAGAATCCCCTTCTTGCCATTAATCCTGAGTTTCTGGAGCTGGGCTCCATCTTGGAGACCCAAAATGCTCGTTTTACGATGCAGGATCTAATGCAGGTGAACCGGGTGATTCGCGATGTAGGTTTTATTCTGACGTTTTAATTAATCCAATTGCTAACATACCTTTCGCAGTTGATCCACTAGGGTGCCTATCAGTGGGAGGGGATACCTATTCTTCTTCGTGATCTTGTTCAGAGCTCGATAGTCTACGCAGAGTCGTAGG